AGCTATTCTAAACAAACGGGCAAACGAAACAAACAATCGCATATGACGTGATCTTAGAATTTTAAAGCATTTTATAAGAAGAGAATGTGCTTTCCAAACCATGCAGGGTACATTCATGATGAACCTTTCCACGCACGAGAGTCCACGTTTCCCGTTGCGCCGAAATGTGCGGCGTAGAGTTGTCTCCCCTAATTGTAACCGGATGCGATGGTCGAAGAATCTAAGACCGCAAACATTTTGGTCTTTTCAGAACCATAGACTCACTCGTGAGGGTGAACTTCAGTGACGGACCTCTACCATCTGTGGATCTTGACCTCCCATTGAAACTGACTGACTGACTGAGGATAGTTTTTACGCCTTTTTCCTTAGCAATATTCCTTCAATATCACAGCGGGGGACACCAGAAATGGGCTTCACAAATTGTGCCCATGTGGGAATCGAACCCAGGCCTTTGCTGTGTGGAGCGAACGCTTTAACCACTGGGCTACCCCACCGCCCCCCTCCCATTGAAACATGTGCTAAGTGACATTCATCGTAAAGCTTCGTAAAGCTCCGAATTTCCTTTGAAAACATGGCGACAACAGAGTGTATGTAAACCATATCAGCGTCTGTACGATGGTTTGTGTAACGCCAGGCATATTAGACGCCCGTTTATGATATCATTAGGTTATTACCCCAGTCAATAATGATACTTCACTCCTTAACCCCACCCATATGAATAATGAGTATTTGATATATGTATATAATTAGACACAAGAACAGATTCATTATCTCAGACCATTTTGCGCAACAATTATAATCACGAATAGCTACGATAATAGCCAGGTCTTCGACCTATAGAGGTCAACAACTGTGCTTCATTATATTATACGAGTATACGTGACGTAGTGGAAGGAGAAACTAACTGGTTCTGATAGGAACATATCCCGTTCCACAACCCGTTCTTTGAAGATAATGATGATGGACATATATCGATAGTATAATATTAGAGTTACGATATTTACGACAATCGTATCTCTAAAATAGATTTAGGGAACGGTTGCTGGTTTATTACAGGCAAAGTCATACTTACGTTAGTGCAAACACGTGTACAATTACGCAAGTTCCGATCCCGTTTAAATATGGTAATTACGACAATCGTAAAACAAGGACGGTCACTTGGTACAGATGGGCCAAGGGTTAAAGAGAGGAAGTGTTACAAAATGGTCTTCGTGCGACTTGTTTAATAACTGTTACGGCCTTCACGTCTAATCGTTTACGTCGATCCTTGTCAAGAGACCTTGGCAACTTCTCTGGCACTTGACAGTATCTGTATTGACGTGCAAATATAAATTGGGAAGGTAGTAAATTCATGGATTTGTATGTAATAGATCTTTCCTGTGTAACAAACAAACAGAAATCATATATACGGTGTCATAGTTTTTACTGAAATTTCACACATTACGAAAGAACACGTCAATGTTTTCAAGGTCCATACTGGTATATTGTTGATGTAAACAGTAAAGTTCAGTTATAACGAACCCAAAGGGACCACTAATCCTAGTAAATAATAATAATAATAATAAGGGTACTTATATTGCGCAATACTCCATACCACAAAGGGGCATGCTCAAAGCGCGCACAAATGTTTAAAAACAAACACATCAAAATGTCATATGAATCAGTATTGTAGTAAATATGAGCTTGGAGAGAGTTAATGTTTATATCGACTGAAAAGGTATGTTTTGAGGTTACGCTTGAACACTTGAAGGGATGGAGCTGTACGTAATTTAAGTGAAAGTGAATTCCATAGTGCGGTTGCAACTGAAGCAAAAGAACGGGCACCAAGTGTCTTGAGGTTGAATGATGGCGGATCCAGCAGGTGTTGGTTACTGGATCTGAGGGCACGAGCAGGAGTGTATGGTGTGAGAAGATCACACAAGTATGAGGGAGACGTGGAGTTAACACACTGGTAAGCGAGAGTGAGTACCTTGAAATCAATTCTTTCATGGATCCGTAACCAGTGTAAGGAATCCAGAATGAACTGTACGTCACAAGACGGCTTAGAACGGCTAACCAGACTGGCAGCTTTATTTTGGAGAGATTGTAGGCGCTTTATCTGGGTTTTGGAGGCACGTGTAAGCAGACTGTTGCAGTAGTCCAATCTTGACAGAATGAGGGAGCGAACAAGCAGAGCGGTGGTGTCTTGGGTCAGTTGGTGGCGAATGCTGGATATATTACGCAGGTGATAGTGAATAGTTTTGCACAGCTGATTTATATGAGTTTCCATGGAGAGACTGCTATCCAAGTAGACTCCCAGATTTTTCACAACAGTGGAGAAAGGGATCGAAGAATCCCCAATCTTAAGATGATGAAAGTGACACTTTTTCAACGTAGCAGGTGGACCAAACAGTATTGCCTCTGTTTTACTGTCATTCATTTTCAGCATATTTGCTGTCATCCAGGACTTGACGTCACTGAGGCACAGCTCCATGTTGTGTATGGTGGAGGCTTGGTTATAACCGAAGTTCGTTATACGTATTTTTAATGAAATATACGGCAAGTGGTTGGGACCAAAAATAGTACGTTACAAGAGTATTCATTATAAACGTCGTTTACTTTTACTTTATGACGAGTGTTTATAGTTTATGTACGTTTCCGTGCAATTTCTACTACCACAATCAAGTTTAAAATGACATTTTGACCCACTAAAAATCCAGCCTTTATACAAAATGTCAACCGTGAAACTATGAAAAATATTTGACGTTAGATACTAAAACGTCACTACCTTCAGCGTCGTGCAAACAGATCTAACCATGGATGAAAAAACACACATAAAGCAGCGTGCAACAAATGTTGACAGATATACGTTTGGTTAGGTGATAAAATCCGGAAATATATTAGTTTGTGGGTGCCAACATGTCATTGACTTTGTCAACACTATTAGACATCCCATCATCTCACCCCATCATCTCTTAACGGAGAATCAGTTATTGTTATAGTGGCCTTTGGCGAGAATCATCATGAAATCGATAACCCGTTACGCTGACACTGGTTTTCACCTCGAACATATGTTTACTCGTAAATACAGCGTTAGTGTGCTCTTGTGTGGATGGTTGCCCTTGAATAGGCCGAAACATCAACGAGTGAGACTAGCGTGTGTACAGAGTGTTAGCGTGTGGTGTTACACTGAGCCATTTCGAAAATTTACAAGGGAATTACAATGCCAAATACTATAATGAATATACAAACAGGACAGCCTTCGTGAGATTCATCATGGTTTCAATGACTCGTTCATACGTTTTCAACTGAAGTAAATTCTCATGCGATGGGGTAGCCTAGTAGTTAAAGCGTTCGCTCGTCAAGCCGAAGACCCGGGATCGATTCCCCACATGAATACAATGTACTAAGCCCATTTTTGGTTATTTTTTGAAGTTATTTTACCCTTTACGTGAAGCGTGATGTTTCATGGAGATAGATCGGGTCTTTGTGGTCAAGATAATATATTTACTCCATCGAAATGTAATATACACTGAATGTTTTCCCCCATAAAATGGTTTTATGACCTAAACTTGAAAATGTAATCACTGTATGAGAGTGACCTATATTAAGTGTGATGCTGACGGTGTTTAGGGCAATCAGAATGCTATAATATTAAGTGTTTCTTACAAAACTAGTTGTCAAGACAAAACTCGGGCATGCAACACAGACACAGCCTATAAGGTCAGGATGGAGATGTGTTGGATCCTGACCTTTGGATAAGGGTATAGTGATCCAGATTGACATTGGGTACCGGAATATTGTTGAATAAGACGGAATAGGTTCTACGAGACCAAAGACAAAGAGCAGAACCTGGCATTTGGGATGAGACTGAAATGGGATGCTGGGCATTATTGAACGTGACTTAGAACAAACAGGACGAGGGCATTTTGAACGACACTGAGATAGGAAACTCAAACACAGCATCGTTGAAATATCCATAGTTCAGAAAATAGACTTTGTCCCACTCGACAGATCAGAAATAGTGCATTGTTAAAATGTGAGGAGGAAACTGGATATTGATGAACTACATTTAGAGGAGGAACTGGACATTTCATCAAACGTGTTTTTTTTCACACATGTCAATACACCTTCAACTAAATGATTCAGTTACCACTTAATGTAGAAGAACCTGGAGCTATTTAGAAATCAACCGTGTCTATAGATCCTGTGATATCGACTCTACATGTTCGTGACACTGCACCTGTCTACTGACCTACGTGCTTCCATGCTTTTGTTTATTTTGACTAAATGTATTACAAACAATATTGATTAATACGAATCCGGATGTTAAATCACAAAACATTCAGTTGTCGATTTTTCGTACCGGCTGCATGCCAGAATGCAAGATGCACAGACATACACAAACAGACAGGACGTTTGAAGTAGAAGAGGCTGAACAAAACTAAACAAATCTCTATGTACAGTATCAGGAACTGCATTCATGGGTGTCAAAGATGTCGCAAGAATCCAAATACACTCTACACTCGCATATGTGTGTATATCTACAGTAAAGACACCAGGTGTTCTCGAAACGGTATCGGAAGAATATAACAGTGGAAGAGAAAACATATGTGCAAGCTCCAAAACAATATGAAATGATCGCTGTTCGTGTGTAGAGTGACCTTGAAATTTAGTTCATTTTCCAATTTCCATCCAAATGTTCATTTTCATATAATTCCATTCATTTAAATTCTGCACTGGATTTTATGAATTGTTCTGACTGTTAGTTTTTATTTAATGCCACGCTCATCAATAAATAAACCGGTACTGATACTATAATGTGTTGATAAGGACTTCTGCCCCCCCACGACCACCACGAGCTGATCACTGGACAGCACAAATGCAGTCTGATTTAATATCCAAAGTCGGACAAAGTAAATTTTTGTTTTGAAATTACTCTCTTTAAATTTTACATGCGTTGCAAGTGTAACATGTTTTTCGTGTAGTGTTATTATTTCCAATTTTCCATTTTTCGGTAGGGTTGGGAGATGGAGGGATGTTCAAGAACAAGACGGACTACCCAACACTTACCCGCTTTGCCTACTGCCAGTGTCGCCTGAGGAAGGTGTTCGGGAGTGTATTCAAGCAGTTCAGTTGGTCGGACATCGTCGTGATCTACGACGTCAACGACGCCCACTCCGACATCCTCGGACAGACGCTGAAGAATGGACTACAGAAGGGGAACATCTACCCCTACATGATACCATACTATGGACAACAAAATCCTAACTTTGAGAAGATCCTCAAGACAGCAGCGGATAATGCACGCGGTAAGATCTCCAATGCCCTGAACTCAGTTCTATTAATTGGTGTGGGGGGCGGTGGGGTAGCCTAGTGGTTAAAGCGTTGGCTCGTCACGCTGAAGACCCGGGTTCGATTCCCCACATGGGCACAATGTGTTAAGCCCATTTCTGGTGTCCCCCGCCGTGATATTGCTGGAATATTGCTAAAAGCGGCGTAAAACTAAACTCAGTCAGTCAGTCAGTATTAATTGGTGTAAGTATTAAGACCATAGAACATGTGTTGAAAAGGAATACATATGTAACTAGATTTGACATAAAAGTATATCAGAATTAAAAGGTTCGGTCATAAGGATCAATAGAAACCATTCATTTAGGCTTCAAATTTGCATACTCCATAGGGCGTTGAGAATTGAAACTGGTACAGATACCATGTGATAGCACTATATTCATATTCTATCACACGTTTCGTATTTCTGTTCTTTATTTGTTGTCAGGAACCGAGAATTATTGTTCATTTACAAATCGGGAAATAATACGCATTCTACCATGACATTTAAGTATGTTCGTTTTTGATTGGCTGTTACTAAACAAATTTCAATAACCACTTCTGAGAGCCGGTTCACTGCGCGTAGGAATATTTTGCACTCATTAGGAAGGGTAATGAGTGCATATTTAAAACGCGTTTTATTCATGGTGCATATGTCATTGCAGAATGGAGATAATCCTATTGTGTTTACATTTTGGAAGTGATTATAGTTGGTTGAACGCTGCGAAATGTTTCATTTAGTTTCACTATGTTTCATTTAGCAGCGTTCAACCAACTATAATCACTTCCAAAATGTAAACACAAAAGGATTATCTCCTAATTATTTATTGTTTTACTTTCCAATTCTTTCCTTTACTCGGCCATTGTGAACTTATAACTACTAGTTGTTGCAAACGTTTATTTATCTATCAGAAACCTATAATTGTTACATGCATACAAGTGAGTAAATTGTGTTCTCTTTCCGCCAACAGTTGTGGTGTTGATTGTGCCTGGTGATTCACTACGAGAGTTTCTGCTCACTGCGCATAGTCTGGGCTACACGACCAATGGTGAGTTCGTATTCATGGACGTCGAGCTATTTCCGTTTCCGGGAAACTACTGGGGCAACCACCATTGGCGGAGAGACGACTCACGTGACCCGGAAGCTGAGGAAGCATTTCAGTCCCTTCTCCGGATCTCCTTGAAAGAGCCAACGAGCGAAGCATGGAAGAACTTCACCTGTGATGTTATTAGAATCGCCAGTGACGACTTCAACTTCACTTACGGCGAGGAAAAGGTAAAACATAATGCCATAAGTGCAAGGGTACTTTAGTCCAGTAGGAACCTAGGTCGAGACAAGTGGTATGGCATTTCGACTGCAGTGCTGATAAACACCAAACCGGGAACATACTGACAACGTCAGAAACGATTTATGGACATATAAATGTCTGGTGGAAAGATTTGGCGTACGAATTGTCTTGTATTTTAATTATTTTAACGACAAACTTACATAGCGTCAAAACGAAGTGGTGAAAGCTTGATTGCACAAATTAAAGGTCACATTGTCATGGAGACGACGTTAATTACCTAACAAAATGTACATTAATATCCATTTTACGACATTCTGCGTATGTTTTACGGTAAAAGCGATTCAGAATGGCACCATAACCTTCTGTAAGCTGTGACGTCATTGCATTGCAACCCCATTTCGTGACGTTAAAGCACTGTATGGCGTCATCGGCTGCAGGTTAAAAACTGAGGGCGTTATGAATGCTCATGGTTCAAAACCTAGCACACCAACAAAATGGGATATATTAATCTTATGATATCATCTTAATCATACAATAACGATTATGGAAACGATTTCATATACATATATAGAATACATATATAAATATGATAGAATTCTTTTTATTTATACAGATGGACGTTTAGTTTATATGTGGTCGTATATTCAGCAAAGTTAAAGGCTGAAAATCGTATCTTTGTGCAAGACCGTCAATAAGGTGCTTGCTTCCTCATATGTCATCGCAGCAAATAGCTGTAATATTGCTGACGAGGCGTAAAACAATATTTATTCATATTATTTAGGTTGTTGATAAATACACCTCAACGCAACACAATAACAGGTATCCCTGTTCGACATATGAGAGAGCAGTCGACTACGGATATAACGAATTCGGCTATAAGGAATTAATCAAAACCAATTCCCCAGAAATCCAGGGTATGCACAACGTGTAGCGGACAAATAATATCGCGAACCGAATGTTTATAATGAAATTATGCTTGAACTACAGTTCATAAAATATGGAAACTCAGAAAGGACATGTCTCATTGTCGTGGCATAATAAATTTTCACACTTTTTGCTTGCTTTTTAATGTGACAATGTGACTCCTAGGATTATATATGCATGAGTTTAAAAAGTACACCTATTCTATACGAAATGTAATATCGAGTTATGTTCGATACAGCAGAGAAATGGTTGTTATAAAGTTAATAAAAAGTACACTCTAATAAAAAGTACTCTTCATAACTGATTCAAACCAGTTGCATATCTTTTACCATCTAGAACATATATAGCCTCATTATGTATTTTTTACTTCCATTTGTAAAATTATCCCCGTGAAGCAATATCCTGTTATTTGTTCCACTCTTAAATGAAATATGACCACGGCTGATTGATCAGCTGCCAGTTGTCTGAAGAACCCCTGGTGATTTACATGGATCGATAAGAACGAATACATCCTCTAAATAAAATATAATGTCAAAATCAAGTGCAGATAAGAATTAATTGTTCAATGAGAAATGTGATTCCCCATGCCTTTATTCTGAGTCATTACTATCTGCATTGTGTTAATCGGGGTTCCAGCTGTAAAACGCATCAACGTCAACGAGTTTCATTGTTGAAGAACATTGATATTTCCATTCAGGGTAGTTGTGGTTTGGTAAACACGCTGTCAGTGTTACTGTGGCATACTGCATGCATTGTGACAGATGATAAATAACACTTGTCCATATATTCCTGGCACTGTTTTTTTAACTTTCGTAAAATGATAAATCAATAAAGCCTTCCTATTCATCGCCATCGAGTTTAACTCGTTATGTCTCGCGTTTCAATGAACTCTCGTTGTAGACTCTACAGATAACGTGGTTTTCCACATAACCCTGACGCTGTTTTTCACTTTCGTAAAATAATAAACCAATAAAGCTTTCCTGTTCATCGCCATCGAGAATAACTCGTTATGTCTCGAGTTTTAACGAAGTATATTCTAGACTCGCCAGAGAACGTGTTTTTTCTATCGAAAGGAAAACAGCAACGTATTGAATATTGGAATTACAAATGTTTCAAAACAGTAAGAGTGAAATATACATACGGATATAAATTAAACTATATCACTAAAATGAGCCGACATTAGCCAGTCACAAACCAGCTTCCGAGAATGTTTCGACTGGCGACTTCCATTTTAGACTATGCTAAAACATATTTTGACAAGATCTCCATTCCAATATTGAAATCTGAACAGGACAAATGTCAGGAATGTGTGACAGATGGTGGAGTTTGTAAGGCTGTTCTCCCAACAGAAAGTCACTTCTTTTTCTAATGTTATCCTGTTTAAGTGAGAGATATGCGAGGAGTTCGACAGAATCAGTCGTACATTCGGAAATTGTCATTCGGAATACTCCCAGTCAACCTTATCGAGTTTGCGTGTTTTAAAAAAACATTCTAACTGTCACTTTCCCGTACTGTAAGGAACGATATGATTGGTCGGGTAATCGTTCTGACGTTTACATGTTGCTTAGCGGAAGCGGGTACTGAGATCTGATTTCAGTGAGAGTGCATTTAAAAAACGTTTGTAAGTTTCTTTTAATTCGGTTTTAAACACATACATTCATTTGCCCGGCCGTTTAGCTATACTTAAATTAAAGTGCAGTCAAACACTATTGTGTCGAAATGTAATTTCGAGTTATGTTCGATACAGCAGAGAAATGGTTGTTATAAAGTAAATACACAAGGACAAAGTTTATTTCGATTTTACTTCGAGACAACCGTTGTTTGACATATCATAAATCGACACAATAGTGTGTCCAAGGAAATTATTGTGTATACTGAGGGAGCGGTAGGTAGACAAGTGGTTAAAGCGTTCGCTCGTCACGCCGAAGGCCAGGGTTCGATTCCGAACATGGGTGGAATGTGTGAGGCCCATTTCTGGTGTCCCTCGTCGTGATGTTGCTGGAATGTTGCTACAAGCGGCGTAAGACCAAGCTCACTCACTCACTCTACTAAACAGGGTGCATGAAGACCAATGTAGGTCGAGGAATGTGTTACCATCTGACACATTCGTGTCTTAATCCAGCACAGTCATAGTTGAAACATCATCTGTTTGTTTTATTGCCCAGGTGAACTACTTTGTCGGGGCTTTCCACGACGGGGTGGTGAGGTATGGGATGGCACTGAATGAAACGCTGGCTAAGGGGAGGGACGTCCGAGACGGCTACGTCATCGCCCGCTCTATGTGGAACGAAACTGTTCTAGGTGGGTATTATATATCTCCTCTGGACCATCCTCTTGCCAAGTAAATTATTTTATCCATTTTGGACAACCCTTGATTGTCTCAATGCACTGGACATCCATTATGAACAACCCTTGAGTGTTCTGTGCACTATAATGTAGCAATGTAGAATATTTATAACGCGCCTTTCCTGGCTTCATATATTGCTCGAAGTGCAGAAATATAATCCGATGATTATTACCCCTGATAATCCAAAGCTGCCTGTGAGGCACTAGAAGGTTAATAATCACATGACCTATACCACCGGGTACCCACTTTCTGCTGGATGAACAGAGGCCATTTTGAACATACTCACTTGACGAAGGTGAGACCAGGAGTATTACATGTACTTCGTTGTGTGTCAGGACTGAAGTCCTGAAACCTTCAGGGGTCACGCTGCCAATAAATCAAGTCTTGGTTATCCTACAGGGACATTTTATCATGCAGGCATTATAGATCATCCTCGTGCGTCCAGGGCATTATAGATCTATTCTAGATCATCCTTAATTGTACATACGGTAGTATAGTCCGTTCTGTTTTGCCAACATGTTAAACCTGTCGATTACATGTTCTCTAGTGTTCACGACCATCATGTGTGAATGAGCAATGTTCTTTAAGGTGTTACAGGAGACGTCATCATTGACGACAACGGCGACCGTGACACCGATTTCTCCATCCTTGACCTCAACATCAACGACGGCGAGTTCCAGGTATGCTAACCAAAAGTGTATCTTTCGATTAGGTGACGTCCCCAGGATTGTCGTCAGAATTAACACATCCCTTCGAGTCACGAGTATGATGTGACGTCCCTGCAATATCCCTATGTGTCTTTCAGGTTTTTCAGGGTTTTCCAGACGATCATTTTCCTGTGAGATGCTTTCCATAGATTGTAAAGGGAGATAACTCCCCAGCTACATTGATTCAAAGGGAGATAACTTTAAATTATTGATGTCTGTTTCAAATAACATTTTAACACTGTTGAAAAACACGTCTAAGTTGGTAGAAATAAAAGTTTAATATGGTGTCCTATAATTTGCCATCGCGTGGCGCGTAAAAAGAACTACGTCGTGGGCGACGTCGCCCACGACGTCGCATAAAAGACGACGTCGCCCACGACGTCGTGTAAGACGTCGTCCACGACGTCGTGCAGAAATACACAAGAGAGATCTACGACAAAAATACAAAATCGACGTCGTCCACGACGTCGAAGGCGACGACGTCGCCCACGACGTCGCGGGCGACGTCGTGTTTAGAAATTGTTATATTGGAAAATCGGGGAATAACCTTTTGTGGTGCAGTTATACTGCTATTGATCTCTAATCACTGATTTCATGTTCAACACTACTACTTATTTAAGTAAACCAATCGAGGGGTAAGCGCCAGAACACCTTAAGTAAAAAATTCTGTCAAATTTAGTTGATGTTTGATGTTGTGAAAACGGTGTTGTTTTAAAGGATCAAAACACTGGTTTTCTACAAAATGTAAAATGTCTCCACTCAGGAAACGAAATATGACTTTTGTACCAGCGGGTTGACATGTGAACCAGCGGGTTTAGTGTGAGTGAGTTTAGTTCACTCAGTTCATTAGTAGTGAGTTATTCAATTTCTTACATAAACGTGCAAGCTATAAGAATGTTGGAATTGACAGTTTTCATCATCATTTCCACAAATTCAGTTATGGAAAATGCACAATAGGTTTCTTTATACTTCTCGTGGTGGAACATACATATATGTAAATGGTTATATGTTTATTGTGAACAAGAAGAAAAGGGGAAAATGGATCTCGTGGAGATGCATTCAGAACGACTGCATATCAGTCTTAACAGTGAACGACATAATTTCCCAAGTACCTGGAGACCACAACCACGGACCTGTACACAGCGAAGTCAAAGTGAATCTTTTCGACTGTACCAAAAATACTGACGGCCCCCGCACAAACAACAACCTCCGGGTTTGAATTGGCATGGCTGTCTCATGAAGGTTGTGGTAAAACAACATCCCACCCTATTCGAGATGGCCAAGTTCCTGGAAGATGAACAAGGACTGAACGAGGCAAAGATGCTTCAGTACAATGCCGGCCAAAGACTGACCCCAAATAGAAGTACAGAGATTTGGAGGAACGACTAGATACCTTGAAGTTCAGGGCTTGCAAATAACCACCCGACATTGATGGAGTACCTGGACAATGACAGATAGACACACAGACAGTCACACAGGCTTTATTCAGTAGTTAAGGCCCAGTGGCCCAGAGTACAATTGAAGTTACTCAATTACAACTATTGGTCACGTGACATTAAATTATGATTTTACATGTGATTTACGGATGGACATCAAATGTTTCATGAAAATGGCAACAGATTTAATAATATCAGCATTATTAGAATTAAGTACATTGAATATCGTTTGTGGGGCATCATTAGTGCATTTTAAATACTTCTTTCGGCAGGCAGAGAAAGTCTTACAGACTAATAATAAGTGTCGTTCGTCTTCAGTTTTACCAGAAGAACAATAAGAACATGATAAATCTTCCAATATATTATTATCTTTCTAAAACGTTGTATTTTTAAGGCATGAAGAGAGATTTTAAATTTACAAAAAATTTTAAAAGGGACTTATCATTAAGAACACTGACATATTTTGCAGGTCCGAACATCGATTTACATTGTGAATAATGACTAAGAAAACTGGATGAATTGACTGATGCGTACCAACTGTGAATATATATCTTTTATTCGTTGTTTAAATGTTGACAAAACATTTTTATATCACCAACATTTTGCTTAAATCAAACATGAGAAAACTCGCTTGAAAATAACATATTTCTCACATCTGAAGCCCATGAATACTTTCCACATTTATCCAGTGATAACAATATTTGACAGCTTTGATAGGCGTAGCGATAATCAGGCATTCTTATAAGTTTAATCCAGTATCTAATAACTCTCATTTGACTCTCAATATGCATGTTATAGCATCCTGTTTCGCCAAGTATGGCTTTATTGGAAGCAAATATACCTTCTGTAAGAAATCTTTTAAAATAAGATGCATGGACATTTTCAATGGCTTCGAAATAATTTGCTCCCCATGTTATATGGGAAATTATGACATGATTATATATGTTAAAAAGAAATATACTAAATCACAACCTTTTGTAATATGTTATAAAGGATCAAAGAAAGTATACATTTACACAAACACACATTCTTATGTGTTTTCATTGTATTCTAAACCGTAAACAACACCAGCCCAAATCCGATAGCCAGCGCGTATGCATATGCTTAAATTTGCTAGTACACATGAAAGGCAAAATGGTATTATATCTACTAGTACCTAAATACTTCTTTATAGAGTCTCAAAGCGTAGTATTTTAAGCAAACACGTTGCTCGAAGTGCAGCCTTCATTTCTATATATTCTGAACAAACACACTGTGTCACAAGCGTTCGGTCCGGCTTGGCTCGAGTCGTCTAAAGCACCTAACACCTCAAAGGTGTATCTTTAATTGTGCTTAAATCCATAGATTAGTATTATATCTACCTACATATCACATTGAAATGTTACAAAATGCCACATGTAAAGGTAACTGCTCCGTTAAAGTGAAGCCCTTTGTTCGTCTAACTCAATAGTTTTCAATCAAAAGTGTTCAGTCTGTTCGGTTTCGATTTGTTTGGTTAACAGTAACTTAAACCTCACACATGTATCTTGAAATGTGTTTAAATCCATAGATCAGTATTATATCTACCTAAATGCCACATTGTGATGTTACAAAGAAAACTGGGTCTATAAAGTGGTATTTAGATAGATATAACTATATTCATTGGATGTAAACAGAATCTAGGATTCATCTGTGAGACTTCAAGATACATGTGCGAGGTTTAAGTTGCTTTTGACAGCTCCGGCCAAGTGGGGCCAACAGAAACTTAACACTTTTGATTGAGGCTATGTTGAAAATAGAGAGTGAATGAGTGAGTGAGTTTAGTTTTACGCCGCACTCAGCAATATTCCAGCTATATGGCGGCTGTCTGTAAATAATCGAGTATGAACCAGACAATCCAGTGATCAACAGCATGAACATCGATCTGCGCATTTCGAACCGATGACATATGTCAACCAAGTCAGCGAGTCTGACCACCCGCTCCCGTTACGACAAGCATGGGTTACTGAAGGCACTTTCTAATCCGGACCTTCACGGGTGAAAATGGAGAGAGAAAGGGCTGGAAAAGTGATATATAGGTAGATGTAATACTAATCTGTGAATTAAAACGCAATTCAAGATACATGTGTGAGGTTAAGCTGCTTTGACGGCCCGAGGTATGCCGGACCGAACAATAGTGGCGGTGATTATGTTTAGAGTGTGGGGAAGAGATCGTTTCATTTGCAGATGGGTATGCCTTACATACAATGAACAGTGGCCTTCTAGGGTGGTATTTGATTGGATATAGGTGTAAAAACATTTTCGGGTCGACAGAAATGTTTATCGGGAGTGACTGAAGCATTTTGCGTTTTAAATCCTGTTTCGTTTAACGATTCTTCTTTAGACGTAACCTTGGTCAGCCACGTTCAGAGGCCGATAACCACTGATATAGTCCGACGTCGCCTGCGACGTCGACCACGACGTCGCCCACGACGTCGCCCGACGTCGCCCACGACGTCGCCCGTTCACGACGTCGCCCGTTATTTTGTAGCCAAAATATATTTTACAAAGCGCGACGTCGTGTCAAAATTTTTATGCGACGTCAGGGCGACGTCGCCCACGACGTACTTCTTTTTTACGCGCCACGCGATGGCAATTATAGGACACCATAGTATTGAAAATGCAATTACTCAGTTCCCGTTGATAGGTAAACATATCTTGACATATCGTAGTGACGGACAATGTCATTTTTAAAATATTTTAACTTTGGTCTGAAACCATTTTATGCTGCATCTGCAGATAACGAGTACTGACTACTGATTATTGTTCTTTCTTTTCAAACCAACATAACGATTTTATTTGTAAATTCTAGTTGTAACTGAACTGAGTTCAACCTTGATTCTATTTCTTTCCATAATTTAAAAACAGATTCACATTCCCATAACATATGGTTGATAGTTCCCCTTTCTGTTTCACAAAATGGATATATTGGTGAAGATGTGTATCCAATTTTATAAAGTAATTGTCTTGTTGGGAGAATATTTCTATATTTCAACCATTTCAAGTCTATGCTTCGCGAACATTTATTTGCAATAATGTCAACAATTTTCCAGTCTATATCAGTAACAACACTCTGTAGAACTCTTTTCCCATTTTGAAAAACTTGGCAAATTTTGAGTTACGTTAGTCTTGCTCTTACTGTCAACCATGTATTTTTAAAGGCGTGTGTGTATATAGAGATTATTACACGAGCAAATGTGTCACACGAGTGTGAGAGAATGATATCTGCTCATATGACACATATGACCCTGGTTATGTTTCACCATGTGACTAATAAACCTGTAATATTGATGATTGCTCTGGAAAACATACACTGGCTCATTCACTGCCTGTCCCATTTCCACTGACAACGGGTACTGCGAATCAGTGTAAATTACGTTAAGAAACGAAAACTCGTATATCGAACGAACGAATATAAAGAACTGGATTGTATTTTAGTCGAAATAAGATTTCCAAGACTACATGTAGGGATTAAAACACAGTCAACTACGGTTATAGCGAACTCATAGGGACCACTAATTTTAATTCCCTACAATTTTTCTTGTGTTATTTATCCATACATTAATACACGTAGTCTTTGAGTGACTGAGTGAGTGAGTTAGTTTAGTTTTACGCCGCACTCAGAAATATTCCAACTATATGGCGGCGGTCTGTAAATTATCGAGTCTGGACCAGACAATCCAGTGATCAACAGCATGAAGATCGATCTACGATGACCGATGACATGTGTCAACCAAGTCAGCGAACCTGACCACCCGATCCCGTTAGTCGCCTCTTACCGTAGTCTTTGAGAGTCACTTACAAATGTTTAGTTCACAGAGACACAGCATATGTGGATATGGATCATATGTATTTGTTCATGTTAAACCTGAAGAAGTCGAAATCAATACAGCTTTTTAGTGTTTCTGTGAAATGCAGCTGAAACCTTAACACGTCTTCATTTGACATTTTGCTATAGGTTGTGGCCAATTATTGGGGCGACAGGCCTGGGTACACACCTGTAGAATATATGACCATCCACTGGCCTGGAACAAGTGGACTACCCCCGCAGAACACCCCACGGTGCGGCTTCAGGGGGGACGCCCCTGTCTGTAGTGACGGAGGTAAGTGTCCATCTCTAATGAGGTATAGTCCGTTTGGCTCAAAAGCGGACTGATGAATTGCAATCTAACTCGAAAACTAATAAACTTAAAATACTCAATGAAACGCTGATCAAAATCAAAACATCATACCCACTCTGTGAGGTGTTTGCAGAAACACCTGGCTGTCCCTTTCTCTGCACTCCTTCCTCGTAACAAACAGTGAACTGTGTCAATATTTTAATGATAGTTTGTTAAACAACTTTTTTATTTTTAGGACAAAAATTCTGCAAAAACCTCACAGAGTGGGTATGATGTTTTGATTATGATCAGCGTTTCATTGAGTATGTTATGTTTATTAGTTTTCGAGTTAGATTGCAATTCATCGATCCGCTTTTGAGCCAAACGGACTATATAAATACTGAGTTTTACTGACCCATGACATGATCGTTATGTAAGACTTAGTTGTGCTTTAGGTTATACTGAAAAATAGATGTAGACAGCCATGTAAATTACATTGTAAAATATATTGTCTCATTGACGAGTTCCTCATTGTAATGCTTGTATGTTTTGGAGAAATTGCCAAATATAGGAAATTCTGTCTCTAACAAAACTCCAAGCTTCCTCTCGCCATACAAATATAAAATGGTATATTCAGGTATTTAAAGCCTTAATCTCAGGCACTCCAACACAACTCCCAAGGTCCGTAAAAATAAGGACAATCTGACGAAACTGGTAGCACTCTAATCGAATCCGCAGCCGGTCCAAGACGATCAAGTGGTTGAACCACGTGACTGTTTCCGTTGGATGTTGGTCTTGTTTCGACACACTGTGGCCAATCAAATCAATGTAATTCCCTCTGCTATCTGGTTGCATGGAATCCTGTGAGAGTGCAGCTGAACAAGCGAAACTGAACATGAGGCGTAATGTTTCTGCTCTCCCGGATCGCGTCCTAACTACAAAACACAATGCCCAGCAATCAATTAGGTAATTCACTTCCGGGATTGTTATAAAGCACATTTGCATTAAAAAATATGAAACGTAATATACTATGATAAATTACACTACGATGGCATATGTATCCAGACCATCAAAGATTCAGCGTTTGCCCTTTAGAAATATATACAATGAAGGTCCAAGCATTTTGTTGTTACCCCCTAAACTGTAACTAAAACCTCATGGGAATCAAATATATATATATATAATCTATAAAATATACCGAATGGTCCTCTGACCTGAACCTTGTCACAAATACGATACCATCGAATGGACATTTCGTCTTTGTTACATACATGTACTTAGACACCAACATGGGAGCATTAATTCATTTGGCCGGCAGTTCACTGACCACGTTAACAGGTTTGACTTCAATGTCCAGTGTACACAAAGCATTGCTGACCTTTATCAAGGTCTGAGTACATGGTTACCTTTGAGTAGCAGATGTCTCAGACTTGAGTAATATGTTTTACGTTTGTCATTACTGAGATACTGAGATAGCTGGCATTTGGTCCATATGGATGTACGCGTTACAAGAGTGTACCGTTTCCAAAGCGCTCTTGGCATCATGGTCAATGGCAATAAACCATTTGTGTTTTGAAATTTGAGGTAAACTACTGTACCTCTGAGTACGCTCGGTTCCAGATTAAAATAGGGCAAAAAATGTACGGTTGGAGCCCATCAAATGTCAAACATTACAAGAAAAGAAAAGAAAAGAAAAGAAAGATTTATAGACAGACAGTCAGACAATTTATTTCGAGTATTCAAGACCATGGCCCATATTACAAAAGGGTTTTAACAAGTGTATTCATGCTGGTCATATTACAGGAATCTTGTCACTGGACGAGACAAAAAAGGCTCTCGTAAAATAACAATAGAGATGCTACACTAAACTATCACATAACATTTCAGCATATATACTGAAGATCTAATTATAACCTGTTGTATTTCTTATCCTAAAGACTTTGTATAAAACCTTGCCAAACGTAACATTACATTTCTATCAGTACTTGACATAATTCTAACAAAACTGTCCATAGAAGGACTATTTCTAATGCTGTTATGAAGACATTCTCTTATTTCGGCTTCATAACGCTGACAGATCATAAAGACATGAAATTCATCTTCAACAAGAAATAAATTTTTACTTTGACAATATAAGCAAAATCTTTCGACAGCAGTTAAATTGAAATGCATTCCTGTTTCAGTTGTTAGCCTGAAATTATTACACCTGAATTTACAGATAACAGTTCTTAAATGTAGTGGAATGTCAGCTGAAAGATAAGACTCAACATGTAACATAGTATTAAACTGACAATAAGTTTGACACTTGCTCAACTTTGAAGTAATACAGTGACATGCCTGGCTCAAGGAGTCAAATAATCTCTGTTAAAATAGAAATAAACATTTATGGATGTCAAATTCTTTATTGACGATGTATGCTTGCTCCTTCATCAGTGGACATCCACAGATCTTCCTTTTATTATGGATTCCACTTCTAAATGCCCTTCGAAGACAATATGTTGATTTTAGATTTTTGCCACCTGATCATTTATTTTAAAAGTTGATATCAAATATTATATCATCGCAACTTTACACAATTTAGCGACAGTATAAGAAAAGACCACTTTTGGTCGCTGTGATTAGATGTAATCATGTCACGTCTGAGAGAAAATAGCAGATGGCGAGGTATGGAGATATTTGAATACTGCACCGCATAGATAATACTGCAGAACCTCTTCAATGAATGACGGTTTCCCAAGCGCTTGGTTGCCTTTGAATAGCAGATGTATCATGTTGATATCTATAATTGAACATCCTGATATTTAAAGATACATCTATTTGATATTGTTTTTATTTGCTGTACATGCCTTTTCCCGTTTTCTGATGTCGATCCCAAGAGTCCAACACATTGTTAAACATTAAAATTGCTTTCAATTAACGCGAAGGATCGAATGAGTTGATATTTAGCCTGAGCCATTCATGGAGCAGAAATACGAAATTTAATCCTCTCGATTCTATTCAATAAACATCCTGTCAGTTTAGATTTCTGTATTTGATCGACCCGATAGCTGTATCGTATGTGCGTTAGGCGAATACACCACGGAAGATGTTTGTTGAAAAACACTTCTTCCTCAAACCCGACCACATTGGCCATTTCAAATGTGTTTTTAGATAATAAACGTTGGGAAATACCCTGCTGTGGTTCCTAGTTAAATATGACAAGCGTGGTATACTATGTCAGACAGGGACATTAAGAACTGAGAGAGTAAATGAGATTTAGTGTCATCTGCACAGCTTGACTGACGTCACGTCGATCACGCCAGAACATAAAATTGGTATGTATATTAGAAAAAAACAACATTGCCAAATCATTTTTTATGATGACTTCTAGCCTAATGGATTACGGGTATATGCATCAGATGATGATGATGTTGATGATGATGATGATGATGATGATGATGATGATAATAATGTGCTATTTTATTATTATTTTATTTTTATTATCTCTCATACGTCGGGTATCGTTTGGTCAAAGGATATACTGCATCGTGTATATATAAGGGGTGGTGGGGTAGCCTATTGGATAAAGCTTTCGCATGTCACGCCAAAGACCCGGGTTCGATTGCCCACGTGGGCACAATGTGTTAAGCCCATTTCTGGTGTGATATTGCTGGAAAATTGTTAAAAGCGGCGTTAAACCAAACTCACTCACTGTATCGTGTATATAACTATGTTGTAGTAGCGAGTGAGCTAATAACATATTTTATATGCATAATATTCAAAAAGATTTTGATTGTCTGTCTTTGAAGTGATCTGAGGGCAGTGCAAACATATGGATTGAAACTTGCCATTTGATCATTCAAGTTTGAATTTGATCCTTCATACTGTAAATGATTTTTTATATTATTAGAGAACCATTACTTATGAAAACGGCCCTGTTTATTTTTCGCTTTGTCACAGTATGTTGAAAAGGATCCTGACCAGTTTTCAATCATTCAATAACTGTAATGACGATAACTGTAATAAGTGTCATTCACACGGAAACTTGTCAGTGAAATGTTCACTTTTGAATCAACTTTACACGAGTGAATCTCCGTTTGAAACACGGAAGGTGTATATCCGAATGCAGTATATATACGAAATGGAAAATTACCATATCGAACAAACTTTATCGAATTTACCAAGTGAGTATCTTTGATCTTGTTTACTTGCAGATAGCGTGCCCATCTACGTCGTCGTGGTTTTGGTGTTGTTTGGCATCATCATCGTCGTCCTCATCAGCACCTTCTTGATTTACAGGTAAGGTATTCTGGACAAGATATTCAGAAGAAACCTCTGGTGGCTCACATGGTAACCTGAAGATTGATAGACCATCACGTACAGTTAGTTAAATAACACACTTTGTTGTGTTCATCCATAGCCAGTAAATATTTCGCTAGTGTACACTGAAACTCTGTTTGGCTGGACTCGGTTAAACAGGAACCGCCTCCAAATCATCTCAGAACTCAGAACGTCTTCACGAAAAAAAGGATTATTCGTTTCTCATGATTAAGTACTTTTCGCGAACACCTCCTATCATCACTATTTGACAGTAATGCATACACACATTCTTATGATCTTGTTGGGATTGTAGGATGAATTCTACTATTTTCTGAGATTTGTTGTGATTATAGAATTTTTGTTGCTTATATTTACAAATAATGGTCGATTCGGGATGTAACTGAACGTTGTGAAGCCAAGCCGATTGTAAGTGAGTGAGTGAGTTTGGTTCAGCGCAGCTTTGATATTATTTTAGTGATATCACGGTGTGTCAGATTGGATTTTGGAGGAAATTCTGAAATGAGGCGCTCTTAAGACCATCCCCTACTGATGAATCCCACGAGCATTGGTATCATGCTGATAAAACTAGAAACACCATCAAGGCTTGATTAGGATTCGAACCACGCACGTTCACAGTTTTCTGACACGCTAAAGATACCCTGCATGGCCAACTAGGAGACCCCTTGTGTCACTAGCAATTGTATATTTTGTGTGTAAAGAGGATGCAATGTTTCGGGATGCTTGTGATAATGATTATGATTACTTAATGTATGATTCGTTTGCCATTGAACGCATGATTATATATGAAATAATTAACCTTGTGAAGCTAGGTAGTGGATGGCTGTGATGCTAGAAGTAATTAACGTACATGTAGGGAGTGTAACTGGTGGAAAATGCGTTCTCTCGTCCTGCCGAATACCTGAAGTTGATTTCCCACATGGGTGCAGTGAGTGAAACCCATTCCTATTGTTCCCCCGTTTAGTTATTGCTGGAATAAAAAACAGTGGCGTAAAAATTAATTCACTCTTATATGTTAAGTGAACTTTTATAAATATTACAGTATAACTGAATGCTTAACCTATACAAACTACAAATCGGTTCTGAATTCTGCCGTAAACATGCGGAGAAGTTGCATTTGGGACCATGTTGATATTTAATCCATGATGGTATTGGATCCATGTTTATATGGGTCCACATAATGATGATATAGTCGGAATAGTTAATGGATCTGTTGATCGTGGGGAGGATTTTGTGGCTCATATTATTACAATATGGATCACAGCCTTAGCAGCTGGAATATCACTGAAGATGTGAAACATCGTGCAGCGTTAATGAATGAATGAAGAAATGAATGTATGAACGGATGAACGAACGAACGAGCAAGCGAGCGAACGAACGAACGAACAAACGAATGAACACACCTCTGACAAAACCCTTTACGGACGGTCGTCGGTCTTCAACATTCGCCATAAGCTGTTCACGTGACGTCAACCATGGATGTCCTCAGGTGAACCTAATTACGTATCGTTAGTTGGCCATAAACTTAAAAAACACAGCACGAACTTGCCAACTAATAAGATTTACTTCGTTTTCAAAGCTGATGAACCTAATTATTGTGCTAGATTTGGCTCCCAGTTGTACGACTGATGTTCGTTAAGATATCTCCAGACATGGGCATAAAATATGTTGGCAATATAGGTTGTTTGACCGACTGGAGAGTGTCTGGTCGACATGTGATGTCCTGATGAAAGACATAATTCCTTCTGATGCAGATCTCAGGCATCTGTTGCCATTACACTATCCCACAGACAGGGTTGTCAATGTGTTTGCTATGAAGTCATGACTCGCTATAAATTGAGGGTGCTCAAAAACGTCATTATCGGGATCGCTCATGATGTCAGTCACTGGATTGTCTGGTCCAAACTGGAATAGTTACAGACCGCTATGGTAACATGCATGACCTGGCTGATTGTGTGATAACACGCATGGCCTGGCTGATTGTGTGATAACATGCATGACCTGGCTGATTGTGTGATAACACGCATGGCCTGGCTGAGTGTGTGATAACATGCATGACCTGGCTGATTGTGTGATAACACGCATGGCCTGGCTGATTGTGTGATAACACGCATGACCTGGCTGATTGTGTAATAACACGCATGACCTGGCTGATTGTGTGATAACACGCATGACCCGGCTGATTGTTTGGTAACATGCATGACCTGGTTGATTGTGTGATAACACGCATGACCTGGCTGATTGTGTGATAACACGCATGACCTGGCTGATTGTTTGGTAACATGCATGACCTGGCTGAATGTGTGATAACACGCATGACTTGGTTAATTGTTTGGTAACATGCATGACCTGGCTGATTGTTTGGTAGCATCCATGACCTGGCTGATTGTGTGATGACACGAATGACCTGGCTGATTGTTTGGTAGCATGCATGACCTGGCTGATTGTTTGGTAGCATGCATGACCTGGCTGATTGTTTGTTAACATGCATGACTTGGCTGATTGTGTAATAACACGCATGACCTGGCTGATTGTGTGATAACACGCATGACCTGGCTGATTGTTTGGTAACATGCATGACCTGGCTGAATGTGTAATAACACGCATGACCTGGCTGATTGTGTGATAACATGCATGACCTAGCCAAATGTGTGATAACACGCATGATCTGGCTGATTGTGTGATTACACGCATGGCCTGGCTGATTGTTTGGTAACATGCATGACCTGGCTGATTGTTTGGTAGCATGCATGACCTGGCTGATTGTGTGATAACACGCATGGCCTGGCTGATTGTGTGATAACATGCATGACCTGGCTGATTGTGTGATAACATGCATGGCCTGGCTGATTGTGTGATAACACGCATGACCTGACTTATTGTGTGATAACACGCATGACCTGGCTGATTGTGTGATAACACGCATGGCCTGGCTGATTGTGTGATAACACGCATGACCTGGCTGATTGTGCGATAACACGCATGACCTGGCTGATTGTTTGGTAACATGCATGACCTGGTTAATTGTGTGATAACACGCATGACCTGGCTGATTGTGTGATAACACGCATGACCTGGCTGATTGTTTGGTAACATGCATGACCTGGCTGAATGTGTGATAACACGCATGACCTGGCTGATTGTTTGGTAACATGCATGACCTGGCTGATTGTTTGTAGTAGCATCCATGACCTGGCTGATTGTGTGATGACCTGGCACGCATGCATGATGCATGGCTGATTGATTGTGATAACATGCATGACCTGGCTGATTGTGTGATAACATGCATGACCTGGCTGATTGTTTGATAACAACACGCGTGACCTGGCTGATTGTGTGATAACATGCATGACCTGGCTGATTGTTTGATAACATACATGAAATGTGTGATAACACGCATGACCTGGCTGATTGTTTGGTAACATGCATGACCTGGCTGATTGTTTGGTAACATGCATAGCCTGGCTGAATGTGTGATAACACGCATGACTTGGCTGATTGTTTGTGATAACACATGCATGACCTGGCTGATTGTTTGGTACCTGGCATAGCACATGACCTGGCTGATTGTGACCTGGCTGATTGATGACACGCATGACCTGGCTGATTGTTTGGTAACAGCATGATGCATGACGCTGACCTGGCTGATTGTGTGATAACACGCATGGCCTGGCATGACTCGTGATAATTACATGTGGTAACATGCATGACCTGGCTGATTGATCGTATGGATAACATGCATGACCTGGCTGATTGTTTGGTAACATGCATAGCCACAGCTGATTGTGTGATAACTGCATGACCTGGCTGATTGTGTGATAACACGCATGACCTGGCTGATTGTTTGGTAACATGCATGACCTGGCTGATTGTTTGATAGCATAACATCATGACCTGGCTGATTGTGCGATAACACGCATGACCTGGCTGATTGTTTGGTAACATGCATGACCTGGTTAATTGTGTGATAACACGCATGACCTGGCTGATTGTGTGATATCACGCATGACCTGGCTGATTGTTTGGTAACATGCATGGCCTGGCTGAATGTGTGATAACACGCATGACTTGGCTGATTGTTTGGTAACATGCATGACCTGGCTGATTGTTTGGTAGCATCCATGACCTGGCTGATTGTGTGATGACACGAATGACCTGGCTGATTGTTTGGTAGCATGCATGACCTGGCTGATTGTGTGATAACACGCATGACCTGGCTGATTGTTTGTTAACATGCATGACTTGGCTGATTGTGTAATAACACGCGTGACCTGGCTGATTGTGTGATAACATGCATGACCTAGCCAAATGTGTGATAACACGCATGACCTGGCTGATTGTTTGGTAACATGCATGACCTGGCTGATTGTTTGGTAACATGCATAGCCTGGCTGAATGTGTGATAACACGCATGACTTGGCTGATTGTTTGGTAACATGCATGACCTGGCTGATTGTTTGGTAGCATACATGACCTGGCTGATTGTGTGATGATGACACGAATGACCTGGCTGATTGTTTGGTAGCATGCATGACCTGACTGATTGTGTGATAACACGCATGACCTGGATGACTCGTGTGGTTACATGTGGTAACATGCATGACGTGATTGATCGTATGGTAACATGCATGACCTGGCTGATTGTTTGGTAACATGCATAGCCTGGCTGAATGTGTGATAACACGCATGACTTGGCTGATTGTTTGGTAACATGCATGACCTGGCTGATTGTTTGGTAGCATACATGACCTGGCTGATTGTGTGATGACACGAATGACCTGGCTGATTGTTTGGTAACATGCATGACCTGGTTAATTGTGTGATAACACGCATGACCTGGCTGATTGTGTGATATCACGCATGACCTGGCTGATTGTTTGGTAACATGCATGGCCTTGCTGAATGTGTGATAACACGCATGACTTGGCTGATTGTTTGGTAACATGCATGACCTGGCTGATTGTTTGGTAGCATCCATGACCTGGCTGATTGTGTGATGACACGAATGACCTGGCTGATTGTTTGGTAGCATGCATGACCTGGCTGATTGTGTGATAACACGCATGACCTGGCTTATTGTTTGTTAACATGCATGACTTGGCTGATTGTGTAATAACACGCATGACCTGGCTGATTGTGTGATAACATGCATGACCTAGCCAAATGTGTGATAACACGCATGACCTGGCTGATTGTTTGGTAACATGCATGACCTGGCTGATTGTTTGGTAACATGCATAGCCTGGCTGAATGTGTGATAACACGCATGACTTGGCTGATTGTTTGGTAACATGCATGACCTGGCTGATTGTTTGGTAGCATACATGACCTGGCTGATTGTGTGATGACACGAATGACCTGGCTGATTGTTTGGTAGCATGCATGACCTGACTGATTGTGTGATAACACGCATGACCTGGATGACTCGTGTGGTTACATGTGGTAACATGCATGACGTGATTGATCGTATGGTAACATGCATGACCTGGCTGATTGTTTGGTAACATGCATAGCCTGGCTGAATGTGTGATAACACGCATGACTTGGCTGATTGTTTGGTAACATGCATGACCTGGCTGATTGTTTGGTAGCATACATGACCTGGCTGATTGTGTGATGACACGAATGACCTGGATGATTGTTTGGTAGCATGCATGATCTGGCTGATTGTGTGATAACACGCATGACCTGGATGACTCGTGTGGTTACATGTGGTAACATGCATGACGTGATTGATCGTATGGTAACATATATGACTTGGCTGAATAACTTATCAATTTGTGTGGTAATTGTCCATGACCTCGCTTCCGTCGTGGTAACAATGCAAAACCAGCTGGATGCTTCTACGACAAAATGCATGATCTAATTGACTGTGTGATAACAATGCATTACGTGAACGATTGTCAGGCAACAATGAATGACCTGATCATGTGGTAAGAATGCAAAACCTTATCATGTGGTAAGAATGCAAGACCTGATCATGTGGTAAGAATGCAAGACCTGATCATGTGGTAAGAATGCAAGACCTGATCATGTGGTAAGAATGCAAGACCTGATCATGTGGTAAGAATGCAAGACCTGATCATGTGGTAAGAATGCAAGACCTGATCATGTGGTAAGAATGCTAGACCTGATTATGTAAGAAGGTAGAGAATGCAAGACCTGATCATGTGGTAAGAATGCAAGACCTGATCATGTGGTAAGAATGCAAGACCTGATCATATTGTAAGAATGTAAGACCTGATCATGTGGTAAGAATGCAAGACCTGGCCTATTTTATCCCGATGGAAGTTTTAACATTTGAGACCTGCATTTCTGAAAACTACGAACCAGAAATTGTATAAACACTGTATTATTATAAACCCAAGTCTCTGCAAAGTAATAATAAACATGCCTGATTGTCTTAAGTGTGCCAATTAACAAAATGTATGATCGGCATATCATTTCAGTAATCATTCATCTGAGCAGTGCTATATCTTCAGTGTTAGTACCACAATGAAAAGGGTATATAACCTATAGGAGAGTATCACTGTAAGTAATATAATACCGGTACACACAGATCTGCTCATATAGTGTCAATATGTCTTCAGGTAAGCACATTTACAAGATATCAGTTTTGTAAATGGTCGTTAAAGGGAGTCGTGACTCACTAAATTAACAAAAACGCATTGTCCACAAAATATTATATAAACGATATAGCGTATTGACTCGCAGCCACGCCCAAGCACGTGGAAGCAACGTGACAAAATAACGTCCGCCCATCGAATTCACTTCTTACATTGTCATTAAATATTGGAATATACTATTTTCCCAAATACAAGTATTGGTCGTACCATTGTATTCATATGGAAATCATATTTGGTCATTATGATGCATCAATAATAATGTGCTTTGTTTTGTTTTGAGAAATGATAAATGGGACCCTAAAAGGAGGATTATTAACTTAGGAATGTTGTCTCATTATCGCGAAGTACTTTGGTCAGTATGTAAATATTGAATTTTTGTGACAATGTGATGGTATTGGAAATATACTTATGTTTAATGATAGTACCGGTCTTGCTGTACAAACAGTGGTAACTGATAGCAGTTTACACTCAGGAGACCTAATTGCAGCTACATAAATGTTTTCTGGCAGGCATAACGTCTTGAGGCGGATACACTTCATAAAAATATGCATTAGTTTAAGTATTTATTTATGTTTAGCCGAGTTAAGCACTACATCCGTATACAGATAATGTACACATTTTCCCCATTGGGAATGATGAGCATGAAGTAGCTGTCGTAACCATAGGCTTATTGCCTTAGGATAAATAAATAAATAAGTAGCTGCCGTAACCATAGGCTTATTGCAAATAAATAAATAAATAAATAAATAAATAAATAAATAAATAAATAAATAAATAAATAAATAAATAAATAAATAAATAAATAAATAAATAAATAAATAAATAAATAAATAAATAAATAAATAAATATTGGCATTTTATTTGTATGAGCTTGTATTTTTGTAAGTATATGCGTCATTGCTTCACTGTAAATGGAGATGAATCATTTCTTTTTCGCAACACATTTTTCTTCCTGCTTCAAGCATGCCGAGCAACGTTGAGATACATCCCGAGAACAAATGGTTTCCTTTAAGTTTATTGCAGCATACAAATAATACTAATTTCTTAAGTATTAATCCAGAAACAAATCTCAGTTTCGCCGGATTAGGCTCCCTGATCCACTGATTAAAGAAACAAAAACATTTCAATAACCAGTACAGACATATCTACTAAACGTTGAGTTCACCGTGCAATGCCGACGAGTGAGTGAGTGAGTGAGTGAGTATGGTTTTACACCAGAAATGGGCTTCACACATTGCACCCATGTGGGGAATCGAACCCGGGTCTTCAGCATGTCGAGCGGACGCTTTAACCATTTGGCTACCCCACCGCCCCCAATGCCGACGATATCACAAGCATGTGTTAATGAATCACTGTTAAATAGTGATGACACCAGGTGTTCTGGGAAACGTAAACATATTCCGTCCCACCAGTGACACTCGACTCAAACACATGCAAAGGCAAATCAATTGTTTACCTAAACACCCAAATAACGAAATCATAGGATACAAGTCAAAATCTGGAACAGCATCAGATGTAACTGTCACTGATGCGTCATATTTTGAGATTTCCCCATCTTCTGTTATAAACGTTTTAAAGCTTTACCGAGGCTTTCAATGTTCTGACCATGATCAAACAACTTTTGAGTAATGTCACTATTAGCGTTAACGATATATGCTGCTTTAACCCGACGACAAAGTCATACCACTTAAATACTCTTAATGGCAAAGTTTATAGTTTTCACCATTACATCTGAAATAGTTACAGATTATGCCAGTATTAGTAACTTCTTCGGGGTAACCTAATGGTTAAAGCGTTGGGTCGTCACGCCGAAGACCCGGGTTCGAATCCCCACATGGGTACAATGTGTGAAGCCCATTTCTGGTGTCCCCCGCCGTGATGTTGCTGGAATATTGCTAAAAGCGGCGTAAAACCAAACTCAGTCAGTCAGTAGTCACTTCTTGATGTAAAGGCTATAAGCTATTTTCAAAATCTGAGCTGATTGGCTATATTGATTAGATGAATGTGGTAAACTTAGAAAAGGCCATGAATGTTGAAAAAATTAAATTAAATGGGGTTTTTATTAAGATAGTTTGGGCGTGTCCCTCTGATTTGAGTGGTAGACTTTTTCAGGCTGGCACAAGTGATCGAATTCCGCAATACAACGCAAACTGGTTCTGTGACGTCTTTAAAGATATCATTAAATTTATTGGGCAATAAAGTTCACTGACGTCTAATTTAGATCAGCCTCAATTTACAGACATCAGCAGCTTGGAGTAAAATCCCACATGGATAGAATGTGTGTCTGGTGTCCCCTGCCGTGAAATTGCTGGAATATTGCTAAAAGCGGCGTAAAACCAAACTCAGTCAGTCAGTAGTCACTTCTTGATGTAAAGGCTATAAGCTATTTTCAAAATCTGAGCTGATTGGCTATATTGATTAGATGAATGTGGTAAACTTAGAAAAGGCCATGAATGTTGAAAAAATTAAATTAAATGGGGTTTTTATTAAGATAGTTTGGGCGTGTCCCTCTGATTTGAGTGGTAGACTTTTTCAGGCTGGCACAAGTGATCGAATTCCGCAATACAACGCAAACTGGTTCTGTGACGTCTTTAAAGATATCATTAAATTTATTGGGCAATAAAGTTCACTGACGTCTAATTTAGATCAGCCTCAATTTACAGACATCAGCAGCTTGGAGTAAATCTGGGATTCATACCGACACGCAATGATAAACATAAAACCTATCTCCCAACTCCTAACCCGGATTAAAAAAGCGAAAAAAGACAGCCAAATCTACTAAACAAATATCATTTAGGAAACACATCTCAATAGCGCAAGGGGCGTTGGGGTAGCCTACTTGTTCAAGCGTTCGCTCGTCGGGTTCGAATCCCCACATGGATAGAATGTGTGTCTGGTGTCCCCTGCCGTGAAATTGCTGGAATATTGCTAAAAGCGGTGTAAAACCTAACTCACTCTCTCACTCACTCGATAGATAACTGAGAATTTTTCAAATGTTAAGTCTGACAACTGAAATGCTGGAATAAAGGGTACTTAAACACAACTCGCTCACACTAGCAAAGATGCGCTGACTTAATGACATCACTTGTTTTCTAAAGACGGGTGAGACTGGAACGTGATCTCAAGGACATGTCATGGCGCGTCTGCCTAAACGACGTCAAATTCCGCAGCAAGGACAACGACAGTGTCCGTTTCAGCAAGACATCAATTGTAAGTTCATTGCAACTAACTATACCGTGAAACCCCGTCTTTATCACTCGATAGACCATTTAACACGACCTTTATCCCCAACAGCCCGTGATGTCTGTCCTTTATCTCCCCAGAGAATGTGAAGCCCCACTCTTTGCACCCAAAAGCTTGTGAAACCCAATCTTTTATCTACCAAAAGACTTTGAAGCCCTACTCTTTTGCACCCAAAAGCTTGTGAAACCCCTTCCTTTATCTAACAAAAGATTTTGATGCCTTACTCTTTTGTACACAAAAGCTTGTGAAACCCCGTCCTTTATCTCCTCAAAGAATGTGAAGCCCTACTCTTTTGCACCCATAAGAATGTAAAACGCCGTCCTTTATCACTAGAACTCTGTGAAACCCATATCGTTATTACCAGAAACAGTGTCAATCACTTTTCACCATGTATACAATGAAACCCATTTCTTCATGACCATAATAATTGTGCCCAAATGGGTTTTTTTAACCTTTACTGAGATATGATGTGCTTTAAACCGCTTGTATATGTACAGTTATCATATGCCGTTTTTACAATGATTTTGTGTTATGATAATTATCCACCAATCCACAAAATGCCAGTACATTGTGTTATCTGATCAGGCATGGTTGGGCGACAGCAACCCTAACAGTGAGGATGTTGGAGAGCAGTGTTTCGCCAAGATTGGAATATATAAGGTGAGTATGGAATTGGGGATGGTTTGTTGTTTAACGCCACACTCAGCAGTAGTCCAGCTACTGCATGAGCATCGATCTACGCAATTGGGATATGATGACATTTGTCAACCAAGTCAGCGAGCCCTGCCCACCCGATCCCGTTAGTCGCCTCTTACGACAAACTGAAGACCGATTCTAATCCGGATCTTCACGGATCTATATGATATGAGGCAACCGTAGAGATATACATGGTGGCGCTGATTTGGAATACATACGGTAAACCTTTTAGAAGAATTTACAAAGATTGTTTTAAAGGGATTTGCGATTCGTGGCCTTGCGAGAATATCGGGAAATGGACTTGAACTGTGATATGGAGATACAAATTTAGGATCATGCATTGGTTGACAAACAACACCGTGCAGTTGTAATACTGCTGAAACAAATATATAGTGCTTTTGGCAGATATTTCTTGTGGGTGTGGAAAGGGTTTTGTCGCTTCTATTGTAAAAGGGATCTGCCAACTGATCCATCACGGATCTGCAAGACGAGTCAGATATAACTAAGATTTCCTGTAGAAGGCATACGTGTGTATATATTACACAGTGTGTCGTGTTGAAAGGAGACGTAGGAGCCGCTACAAGCTCATATCAGGCAGTTGTGTAATGGGCTGCCCACTTGATGAATGTGCTTTTGGAAGTTTGATAACTTCATATTTTATAGTACTGTATTTGACATCTGCAAGATTTCTATTGCTTCTGCTGGCTTTATCAGATATTGGGGTTTGAAATAAATTCATTTACATCCTAATTTCACTGATTTAACTGATCGTCTTTGATACGCCAGGGGGAAACTGTCGCTTTGAAGAAAGTCGAATGTGACAAGATTGACCTCACCAGAAACGTGTTGATGGAGTTCAAGCAGGTAGGCGTTTTTGAGGCATTGTGACCCTTCGATAAGGACAGACATTAATGTCATTCAAAAGAAAAAAAAACAAGTCCGTCTTTGTTAGATGAAATATGAAAACAATCACCCGAGTGTATTGATCGTTAAAAATGGTATGAAAATCGTTGTTCTAACTACCAAGAAAATCCACAACCTTTCAGTATCTGGCTTTGTTAAAACGTGTTTGTGTTTTAAGAATTGTGGAACCTAATATGGAGGTTAGAGAGTTATTACTTATTCCGTGCTCCCTGGATACATTAGATGGTTACACACCTTTTATTCGTCTCCTGGTTGATCAGTTGGTATCGACATGTATACTTTTTATCTGAAACCTGTTTCTGTTCGGTATTGACAGGTGCGAGACTTGCAGCACGAGAACTTGACGAGATTTGTGGGAGCAGTCATTGAGCCCGGCAAAAACTACCTCCTTACAGAGTATTGTAACAAAGGAAGCCTGCAGGTATTTCATTCGGCACTTCTCGCCACTTCAGTCACGTCATCACTTTTGCTTGTCATTTTCACCACTTGCATTCTTCAGATAATGGAATCATTGGTTAATTCGGATAACGGAGACAGGATATTCTATGGAGTTTGAGTAGTGTACATTATATTTGAACATGCATGCATATATGTTTATCTTAACAACGTAATAATCACGAATTCGGAACCATGCCAAATATAATCCTCATTCATGGTCATATAGATGTACAATTGTATAATTCAAAAGAACACAATACTTGAATAACAATGAAGCCCGTTAACTCGAATGCGTACACCCACCAGAAGCATATCGACTTATCCGTATTTCGATATAAGCGGAGTGTCAGTATTTATTGTTGCTACCTATTACAGGACAAGTTACACTATATTACAGGATATGTTGAGTTATCAGAGTTCGAGTTTCAGTGTACACAACAATATGATGATGTATTCCAGGATGTGCTACAGAATGATAATATCAAGCTGGACTGGACCTTCAGGCTCTCTCTGCTCAGAGACATTGCAAGGGTAGGTTTACTATAGCTTCTCAGTGATGAACTCTCTCATCAGAAACATGTCAGGGTAGGTTTGCAATCAGCATTTTACATCAAGACGAGAGCTCTCTGTACAGTTAAGCTGCCGTCACTATATGGCTGAAATATTGCCGAGGTGACGTTGAATTTTAACTCACTCACTCACTCACAGTTAAGCCGCCGGGGTTAACTTACACATCGACTGCCTCACGGCCCGGCACTGCCATGGATACAAACACCCTAAAATACAGCAAGCACTCAGCAGTATTCCAGCTATAAGGCAGCGGTCTGTAAATAATCGAGTCTGAACAAGACAGCCCAGTGTCCAACAGCATGAACATCGATCTACGCAAGTGGGATACGATGACATGTGTCAACAAAGTCAGAAAGTCTGTCCACCCGATCTCATCAGTCTCTCACGACAAGCATGAGTTGCTGAAGACCAATTGTAACCCGGATCTTCATGGGTATGGCCTAACATGGACATCACCAAAGTAGGTTATAAATAGGCTGTCTGTTCGTTCACATCTAAGGCCTTTGTTCAGCGATATCGCTACGGTAGGTTCAGTTTGTAGACTCTCTTTTCTGAGCCATTACCATGATCTTTTAGCTTACATAATGTTTAGCTTTTTATTTGATTTTACATAGGCAGGCTAATGTACCGGGTATGCTACCCGTATGACCTGTTAGAATATACACTGATAATGAAACTGTTTTCACACAGGGCATGGCGTACCTTCACAAATCAGATGTGCGTTGCCATGGCTGCCTCAGGTCATCCAACTGCGTGGTGGACGGCAAGTTCTCCCTCAAGGTCACGGACTTCGGTCTGCATAGTCTCAGAAGTACCAAGGGAGGCGAGTACGACGGAAACACACACGCCAAATTTGAGAGTGAGTAAAATATCTACTGTTTATGGACTCTCAGGCATGGTGTGGTGAGGTGAGGTGAGGTGAGGTGAGGTGAAGTGAAATGGGGTTTAACGTCGTACTTAAGAATTTTAAGTTGCATGCGTGTATATGTGTGGCTGCTTGTACTAGCTCAGGCTTAAGCTGGTTTTATAGTGCTAGCCCACTGAGATACCATGTCGCAGTGAAGCATGAATACCTTACTCAGACACATTATACTGACTCCGAACCGATCAGTCCTTGTTGTACCAATCAATGCCGAGCGCCAGGCAGGGACCAACAAGTACCATATTTTAACGTCTTTTGGTTTGACGCGGCCTAGGATGGCACCCGCGACCTTCCGCTCAGACGCTCTAACCACAACACCACGGAGGCGGTCCTCAGGAATGGACTTCAATTATTGGACATGTACGTCCCATCAATAGTTTAGACTCACTTAAAACACTCACTATGTGTGTGTGTGTGTGTGTGTGTGTGTGTGTGTGTGTGTGTGTGTGTGTGTGTGTGTGTGTGTGTGTGTGTGTGTGTGTGTATATATATATATATATATATGCACGATATTTGCAAATATCGTGCATATGAACAGCTACGTTTTGGTGTAAAGTTTGTTAAGAATTCGTCAATTTATACTGATTTTAATAATTTATTGAACTCATGACAATAATGTTTTCAACATTACGGATTTGTTTGACAATACATAAGTTCATGTGTAAACGGTACCTTTAAACAGTGTGGAATATTTTGCAAAATCTAGTTTAGATCAGTTGGCTGAAGTAAGTGGCTACATTTACATAAGTGAGTCTAAACTTTTGATGGGTAGTATATGTTGGGAATCAAACCCTTATCTGGACAAGCTAACGTTTTACCCATTGTGCCAGCCGATCACTTGTGTACCGTACGCCGTGCTGTTCTTAACGTCAGAAGAGGTGATATGACTCTTAACGTCAGAGGAGGTGATATGACTCTTAACGTCGTCTTCAAGGTTATTGCTCTTATTCAGCACGGGACATGGGCGCTTAACGTGTCTCTATAGTGATGGACCAGTAAGATGCAAACCCGCAGTTTAACAGAGATACCCCAATCAGTGAGTGAGTGAGTGAGTTTAGTTTTACGCCGCACTCAGCAATACTCCAGCTATATGGCGGCGGTCTGTAGATAATCGAGTCTGGACCAGACAATCCATTGATCAACAACATGAGCATCGATCTACACAACAGGGAACCGATGACATGTGTCAACCAAGTAAGCGAGCCTGACCACCCTATCCCGTTACTCGCCTCTTACGACAAGCATGGGTTACTGAAGGTTCATTCTAACCCGGACCTTCACGGGTATACCCCAATCAGAGACATCATTACTCCAAGGCGACCAGTCCTTGTTTTATGTCATATTTGTCAGGCAGGGTAACAAGAAGTATCACATTTTATCATCTTTTTGGTTAACCCATAGAACCAAACCACCAATCTCCCGCAGACCTTCTTTTTTCACATCACCACGGCTGTCTAATTCGTAAAGATTATGACACAAACACATAGTGACATTTCGTTGTATGTGGATAGACCAACATAATGACATTTCGTTGTATGTGGATAGACCAACATAATGTTATTTCGTATTCACAATAGCAACCACTTGTTTGTGTCGTGATGACGTCATACTGTTTGTGTCCATTAGAGTTGCTGTGGGTGGCGCCCGAGCACCTGCTGGATGAGGGGGAGACCCCGAAGGGGGATGTCTACAGCTTTGGCATCATCTTGGAGGAGATGATTGTCCGGTCGGCTCCCTACGACACTTATCGAGGCATTATGGATCCGCAAGGTGAGGAGTCAAAATTGTTGTTCCAACTGGGAGCGTTGTTGCTAAACTTCGTTCACGGTTTATTAATAATCAGCGCTCGGGGCATCTATAATAGGCAATGTTGTGGTCAGTATGTGTGAATATAGCGTCAGGATCTCACTCATCAATATAGCCAATTGTGTCGGTCATTTATTTATGATTCCGTCACCTAAACTGAAGTAACACCTACCATAACGAGGAACCGAGTCGTAAATAAATTGTCACAAAGATTTAATCTGAAGACCTGCGTGATACGAAAATAGGTGAGGTGAAATTGGGTTTTACGTCGTGCTTAAGAATATTTCTCTCATATGACGACGTGCATGCGTGTGTATGTGTATGTGCGGCTGCTTGTACTAGCCCAGACTGAAGCTGGTTTTATAGTGCTAGCCCACTGTGATACTATGCCGCAGTGGAGCATGAATACCCCACTCAGACACATTATACTGACTCCGAGCCGAACCAGTCCTTGTTGTACCCATTAATGCCGAGCGCCAGGCAGGGACCAACAAGTACCATATTTTAACGTCTTTTAGTATGACGCGGTAGGGGATCGAACCCGCGACCTTCCGCTCTCCGGGCGGACGCTCTAACCACTACACCACGGAGGCGGTCTGATAATAAAGAGACATACCGATTGTATTATAGCAGACTTAAGATGAACCAATGGATAATTGAAGGTTATATTAACACTGAGCTATAACAACCTATGTAAAGCATTACGCGTTTGAGCTGGCAAATAATTGGCTTACACTACATAATTCCAACATGTTAATATACACAGGTTACCGGCACTGATAGTGACGATTCAGTTCTGATACACAGCTGTGTGTTAACACAGAGGATGTAAATCCACTAAATGTAGGAAGTAAATTACAACGATAAAGGTCATTAACTCATTGGGTGTGATGGCTTTGCCTAGTGGTTAAATCGTTGGCCTGTCACGCCGAAGACCCGGGTTCGATTCCCCACACGGGTATAATGTGTGAAGCCCATTTCTGGTGTCCCCCGCCGTGATACAAGCACTCACTCACTCACTCACTCACTCACTCACTCACTCACTCACTCACTCACTCACTCACTCACTCACTCACTCACTCTCACTCACTCACTCACTCACTCACTCACTCACTCACTCACTCCTCACTCACTCACTCACCACTCACTCACTCACCTCACTCACTCACTCACTCACTCACTCTCCTCACTCACTCCCACTCACTCACTCACTCACTCACTCACTCACTCACTCACTCACTCACTCACTCACTCACTCACTCACTCACTCACTCACTCACTCACTCACTCACTCACTCACTCACTCACTCACTCACTCACTCACTCACTCACTCACTCACTCACTCACTCACTCACTCACTCACTCACTCACTCACTCACTCACTCACTGGCGTCGTGTATGTTTCCAGATATAGTGGAACGCGTTGCGAGTCATGACAACCCACCTTTCCGTCCCAAGGTGAACCAAGCATTTGGCCCCAAGGGAGTTCATGAACTCATGCATCAGTGCTGGACGGACAACCCAGAGGACAGGCCCAACTTCGACACCATAGCCAAAACACTCCGAAATCTCCAAGGGTAAGACAAGGATTTTACAGGCGAATCATTCATTATAAACACTTTACATTGGCATAATGACTTGATTTTAAATTGAAATTTCTCGATATTTAAAATACCTGTTGATTATTTTTTTTAGATTACAAGCTTTTTCTCGCTACTAACATCATTTACTCGATTATTACAGCCAGTTTCTTCTCATTACTCCAATTATATATTACAAGGTTTTAATTCGAGATTTTAAACTAAACATGAAAGAAAAATAATATTCAAAGTTAGCAAGAAGAAGTTGTAATTACAGTTGAAACCCCCTGGAAATAACGAGAAAATAATTGAAATTATACAGAACATATACATCATAACAACAAAATACCCATCGATTTAAAAAGAAAAACGAGAAAATGATCACAATTGTGTAAAAATGTAATCGCGGGGTAACTAGAAGAACTCGATTTTTTGTAAAAATTAAAATATAATTGAAATGACGAGAAAATTCATACTTCCAAATTGGTATCATCAGGCTTTCGTAAGTGCAGACTCACTTGTACAGAGAGAGCGAGTACACATGAAATGTGCTTGCTATGCTTAACTTTCCACCTCTGAAACTGATGACTGGAAGTCGGTTACTTCAGGTCAAAGACCGACAGCAGATACGCCTGTTTAATGAACACACCAGTTCCAAGATTTACGCACATTGATTTCAACTCTAAGACCGATAACTGTTACGCCAGCATGTGGTTTCCAACAGGTCCAAGACTGACAACATCGTTGAGGCGTTGATCCACCGCCTCGAGGACTACGCCTCCAACCTCGAGGACATCGTGGAGGAGAGGACGCAGCAGCTCATCGCTGAGAAGAAGAAGTCGGAGGCACTCCTGTACCAGATCCTTCCAAAGTAAGTCCATCATTTATCAATTAGTTTATCAACCTTTGAAGGTCTTTGAACTATAAAGTTCCCGATGAAATGTTCATGATCAATCCAGTTGAACAGGTTGTCCAATGGCGTGGTCCAACTTCTATTCAACTATTTTAGGCTAAAAAGAACCTGTGAAGGTCTTGACATTTTCTAATCACTAAAATATCATCCTCATCAACAGTATGGGTATCGAGCTACGCAATGGGGATAAAATGACTTGTGCCAGCCATTCCCAATAGTCGCCGCTTATGAAAAGCATAGATGACTGAAGATCAATTCTTTATTGACAGGTCGGTTGCTGAGCAACTGAAGCAAGGGAAGGCTGTTGTCCCAGAGACGTATGAGAGCGTCACCATCTTCTTCAGTGATGTTGTCGGCTTCACGTCCATGTGTTCGGAGAGTACCCCGATGGAGGTGAGTCTGATTTCCGACGGGGTGGTCACATTATGTGACTGTCCTAATTGTAAAATCGTCCGCCAACGGCGCTTTATGATATCCACCATCTGGTGTTCAAAGACATCAGTTCGTGCTGATTATGTTTACAGGTTTGTCAGCACCGTAGCTAACTGCAATCCGAAATACTGATAATAATGCAAGTCCGAAGACCGGTGAAGATCCGGGTTGGAATTGATCTTCAGTGACCCATGCTTGTCGTAAGAGGCGACTAACGGGATCGGGTGGTCAGGCTCGCTGACTTGTTTGACACATGTCATAGTATCCCAATTGCGAAGGTCGATGCTCATGCTGTTGATCACTGGATCGTCTGGTCCAGACTCGATTATTTACAGACCGCTGCCATATAGCTGGAATATTGCTGAGTTCGGCACAAAACTAAACTCACTCACTCACTATATGCCCGAAACATTGGTTACTACAGTATAAAATATTATTAAGTTAAGTCCCCCAAACACTTCTTACTAGACCGCCTCGGTGGTGTATTGGTTAGAGCGTCCGCCCGGAGAGCTGAAGGTCGCGGGTTCGATCCCAGACCGCGTCATATCAAAAGACGTTAAAATATGGTACTTGTTGGTCCCTGCCTGGCGCTCGGCATTAATGGGTACAACAAGGACGTCTGGTCGGCTCGGAGTCAGTATAATGTGTCTGAGTGGGGTATTCATGCTTCACTGCGGCATGGTATCTCAGTGAGCTAGCACTATAAAACCAGCTTAAGTCTGGGCTAGTACAAGCAGCCGCACATACACATACACACACATGCACGTCGTCATATGAGCGAAATATTCCCAAGCACGACGTAAAACCCAATTTCACCTCACCTCACCTAACTTCTTACTACAGTTTCAAATACTACTTACCACAGTCCTAAAAATGCTTACTACCACATGGCACAAAGCCAGCTACAGCTCGAAATACTGTTACTCTCACTTCTTTTACAGTCTGCGATGTTACTTTCCGCAGGTGGTGACCTTCCTTAGTGACCTTTACTCCTTGTTTGACAGCGCCATTGACAACTACGACGTCTACAAGGTCAGTAGAAAGAATAATTTGTCAAACACACCCAAACCAATTTCTTAAAGCAACGATATCTTTGGTGTGATTCGTTGTCATATTATATATTTATCAGTAAATATTTGGTGTTCTATTTTAAAATCAATATAAACTAATGCCAATGACCTGAATGTTGGTAATGACGAGTCCGGGAAATTGGTATAGGGAAATATTTTACAATGCTACTTCATCTCACAGACAGACTGTATCACCATATTTCATTTGCTGAATCACTAACACAAAGCTTAATGGCTCTTCTGTCCAGGTTGAAACAATCGGAGATGCCTATATGGTTGTGTCTGGGCTCCCGATCCGAAACGGACAACGCCATGCTGTGGAGATCTGTAGATTGGCACTGGCGCTGCTGTCGGGGGTGGATACCTTCGTCTTCAAACATAGACCACAGGACAAGCTGAACGTCCGGATCGGGATACACACAGGTGTGTCATACATAGAGAATACTACACTCGGTCTCATAACATACGAATTATACGAAACGAGTGTCCTTCCTATGGTATCTGACCTCGCGAAAGGTCAGATACCATAGGAAGGACACTCGTTTCGTATAATTCGTATGTTATGAGACCGAGTGAGGTATTTCATTTATTACCCACGTTTTACATGCTTTAAATTGACAAAAGTTTGTTATTTTTATGGTTTCAAACCGAAACCGGTTTCATAAAGAGGTTGCGGAAGAATGTTGTTCTGTAGTACACTTTTTGCATGACGTCACACTACGCCTTGTTCGTCTGCCCCCTTGGTAACCGACGTCACGATGCATGTCAGTTGTCATCGCCTCGTACAGCCGCCTACATTAAACTACTCCGTAGTACCCCATTTCTTAGTTTGCAGTTGCTTCTCTCGGCTAACATCACTGGTGGAAACATTGCGTTTATGTTTTTCGACGGATATAATATAATGTCTCAGTTCGACTCACAATTAAACAGCGATACGGCAACGGTCGCAATGTTTACATTCCCACAATGCATTCAAGTTGTAGAATGAATGAATTCACGTGTTTGTTATGAATGAAAAAGTAGTTCCGTCACAACGTGACCTAATTGAGAGGTCATCGGTTATCCAATCAAATCGTTAGAATCTTAGGTCAAGTCGTTACGACACAGGTCAACGCGATACGACACTCGTGTGACGTACGAGATTAGTATTCAACTACCCATACGTTGACCTCGTGTGTAATAAAGCACTGTATGTTGTACGGTTGTACTGTTGTACTGTTGTACGAGAATGGACATGAATGGTATGACTTTACCTTTCTTCCAATCAACATTCCAGCAGCTCTTGGTTTTGGTGTCTTCAATTCATGCTCTTTCCGCGAAGATTTCAAGGAGTCCTTTGATCAGGTTTCAAAGTTTGCGGTCTCACTAATGCTTTCAAAAAGTTAGTTGACACGTCTAATTAGACGCGACAAAACACATCCCATTTTTCATTTTTTTCCACACTTTACATTTTGAATTGTCCTGTCGGTTTTCATATGACTACTTGATTTGCCACTGCATGTGTTTGTGAACGGTACCCTTTATGCTCAAACACATGCTAATGATATAGTCGGAAATGTTCAACAGACTCTTTTACCAGAGGATTCTTATAACCATGTCGCTGTTCTTTAGATCCAGAGTATATTCTTCCTCTCGCAAGGTATAAGCAAGCGGTTATTCTGTACCATTATTCTAGCGATATCACGACAGGAAACACCAGAGAGTGAACCCATGTGTTGGACATAACGAGAGAACTAGTTCCAACAATTTAACTTATTAGGATACCCTTGTTTCATGTCTAAAACACATAAGCTTGAACCAATTGACTAGCACAGCATTTCTCTAGGAGAAAAGAACGTTTACAGCATTTACCAAAGGCTATCCTTGCCACCTGCTGGAATACAAAGGAGCATTTTGTAAAATTAAGTTACCCATTTAATTTATGTAAAGTGTTATATACACATGTGAACTCAACTCAGGGGAATGTAATGATAAGTTTTTTAATTTTTTTTTTTGTTTTTTTTTTAATTTATTATTTTCATTTTTTTTTTTAAATATATAGTTTTTTTATTATTCTTTATTACTTTTATTGAAAAAACAAACAAATATAATGATAAGTTGGTGTTTTTCACTTCAGATCTTTTAATACACCATCATTTTTCGTCTTGCTTCTTTCATTGGGTATGACGCTGAGGATGAAGGATGATATACAATGCTGAAACTGATTGTGAAAATAAGTTGGAAAGATCCATGGAACACAAGAAAATATACATACAAATATAGCTCTTCTAAGGGTTTAGTCTTCTGGGCTCCAAAGTAGTCTGTGGGCTCCAGTGTAATTTTTTTCCAGCTTGAAATTCAATCTATTGTCGACGTGTTGCAGGCCCATGCGCTGCTGGTGTAGTGGGTCTGAAGATGCCGCGATACTGTCTGTTTGGAGACACCGTCAACACAACGTCCAGGATGGAATCCACGGGAGAAGGTAAGGAGATGCTGGTATTTGGGAAATGAATTTCACATTTTGAAAATGGAAAAGGTCATTAACTGATTGAATGAGTCGTACAGTCGTACACCTGATGAAGCACTCGGATTGATGGGATATGTTAACACCCGAAGAGTATAAAGAGTAGAGAGTACAACACCCGATGAAGAACTGACACTGAACATCTCGTACACCTGATTCAGCCTCAGTATGATGAGGGGATTTGAATTTGAAGACAATTCACCCATGGCTGATGTCTTAGTAACTTCTTTCTGTATGAACACCTTTTCCCTTCAGCTCTGAAGATTCACCTCAGTGGCACGACGAAGGCTATACTGGACGAAGTCGGCCACTTTGATACACCTCTCAGAGGCCAAGTTCCTATGAAGGTGTGTATGCGTGCGCGTGCTTGTGTGTGCGTGTACATGTGCGTGTGTGTGAAAGTCATAGTCGTGTCTTTGCGTAAACATGTAGTTAATATGCAGTAAGTGAGTGAGTCAGTGTAACTCAGTGTAAGTGTATTCAGTTCTTTTTTATATTCAGATCCTATGTCGGTTCTCTTCGTGTTGTCGATTTATATATTTTACCAGGAAATATATTACAGGCCACCGGAAGTTAAATTCCTTATTGTCCAAGACACACTCTGTGTCCCCAGCATGGTTGGCTCTTTTGTACGGATGTGTGATGGATGAATGATGGATGTATGATGGATGTATGATGTATGTATGATGGATGTATGTATGGATGAATGATGGATGTATGTATGGATGTATGATGGATATATTATGGATGTATGTATGGATGAATGATGGATGTATGTATGGATGAATGAGGGATGTATGATGGATATATTATGGATGTATGTATGGATGAATGATGGATGTATGTATGGATGTATGATGGATGTTTGTATGGATGAATGATGGATGTATGATGGATATATTATGGATGTATGTATGGATGAATGATGGATGGATGATGGATGTATGTATGGATGTATGATGGATGTATGATGGATATATGGATGTATGATGGATGTATGATGGATGCATGTATGGATGTATGTATGGATGAATGATGTATGGATGTATGATGTATGTATGATGTATATATGATGGATGTATGATGGATGTATGGTGGATGTATGTATGGATGTAGGTATGGATGAATGGTGTATGGATGTATGATGTATGTATGATGTATATATGATGGATGTATGATGGATGTATGATGGATGCATGTATGGATGTATGTATGGATGAATGATGGATGTATGTATGGATGTATGATGGATGTATGATGGATGTATGATGGATGTATGTATGGATGTAGGTATGGATGAATGGTGTATGGATGTATGATGGATGTATGATGGATGCATGTATGGATGTATGATGGATGTATGATGTATGTATGATGTATATATGATGGATGTATGATGGATGTATGATGGATGCATGTATGGATGTATGTATGGATGAATGATGGATGTATGTATGGATGAATGATGGATGTATGTATGGATGTATGATGGATGTATGATGGATGGATATGATGGATGAATGATGGATGTATGTATGGATGAAGGATGGATATATGATGGATGCATAATGGATGTATGTATGGATGAATGGTGGATGTATGATGGATGTATGATAGATGTATAATGGATGAATGATGGATGTATGATGGATGTATGATAGATGTATAATGGATGAATGATGGATGTATGATGGATGTATGATAGATGTATAATGGATGAATGGTGGATGTATGATGGATGTATGATAGATGTATAATGGATGTATGATGGATGTTTAATGGATGTATGTATGGATGAATGATGGATGTATGATGGATGTATGTATGGATGTATGTATGGATGGATGATGGATGTGTGTATGGATGAATGATCTATATATGATGGATGTATGATGGATGCATGTATGGATGTATGTATGGATGAATGATATATGGATGTATGATGTATGTATGATGTATGTATGATGGATGAATGATGGATGTATGTATGGATGAAGGATCGATATATGATGGATGCATAATGGATGTATGTATGGATGAATGGTGGATGAATGATGGATGTATGATGGATGTATGATGGATGTATGATGGATGTATGATGGATGTATGATAGATGTACAATGGATGAATGATGGATGTTTAATGGATGTATGTATGGATGGATGATGGATGTGTGATAGATGTATAATGGATGAATGATGGATGTATGATGGATGTATGATGTATATATGATGGATGTATGATGTATGTATGTATGGATGAATGATGGATGTGTGTATGGATGAATGGTGGATGTATGTATGGATGTATGATGGATGTATGTATCGATGGATGATGGATGTATATATGGATGTATGATGGGTGTATGATGGATGTATAATGGATGTATGTATGGATGAATGATGGATGAATGATGGATGTATGATGGATGTATGATTGATGTATGTATGGATGTATAATGGATGGATGTATGTATGGATGGTTGAGGGATGTATGTATGAATGTATGATGGATGTATGTATAGATGGATGTATGGATGTATAATGGATGTATGTATGGATGTATGATTGATGTATGTATGGATGTATGATGGATGTATGATGGATGTATGTATGGATGGTTGAGGGATGTATGTATGGATGTATGATGGAAGTATGATGGATGTATGATGTATATATGATGGATGTATGATGTATGTATGTATGGATGAATGATGGATGTATGTATCGATGGATGATGGATGTATATATGGATGTATGATGGGTGTATGATGGATGTATAATGGATGTATGTATGGATGAATGATGGATGAATGATGGATGTATGATGGATGTATGATTGATGTATGTATGGATGGTTGAGGGATGTATGTATGAATGTATGATGGATGTATGATTGATGTATGTATGGATGTATAATGGATGGATGTATGTATGGATGGTTGAGGGATGTATGTATGAATGTATGATGTATGTATGTATGGATGGATGTATGGATGTATAATGGATGTATGTATGGATGTATGATTGATGTATGTATGGATGTATGATGGATGTATGATGGATGTATGATGGATGTATGATGGATGTATGATGGATGTATGATGGATGTATGATGGATGATGGATGGATGTATGAATAATGGATATGGATGGATGGATGTATGATGGATGTATGTATGGATGTATGGATGGATGGATGGATGTATGTATGGATGTATGATGATGATATATGATGATGATGGATGTATGGATGTATGTATGGATGTATATGGATGTATGATGGATGTATGGATGGATGTATGATGGATGTATGTATGGATGCATATGATGGATGTATGTATGATGGATGTATGATGGATGTATGTATGGATGGATGTATGATGGATGTATGTATGGATGTATGATGGATGTATGATGGATGTATGATGGATGATATGATGGATGTATGTATGGATGAAGGATGGATATGGATGGATGATGGATGCATGGATGGTATGGATGTATGGATGGATGGATGTATGATGATGGATGTATGGATGGATGATATGATGGATGTATGATGGATGTATGATGGATGTATATGTATGGATGTATGTATGGATATGAATGATGGATGAATGATGGATGTATGTATGGATGTATGATGGATGGATGAAGGATCGATATATGATGGATGCATAATGGATGTATGTATGGATGAATGGTGGATGATATGATGGATGTATGATGGATGTATGATGGATGTATGATGGATGTATGATGGATGTATGATAGATATACAATGGATGAATGATGGATGATGGATGTATGTATGGATGGATGATGGATGTGTGATAGATGTATAATGGATGAATGATGGATGTATGATGGATGTATGATGATATGTATGATGATGATGGATGATGTATGTATGTATGGATGGATGAATGATGGATGTATGTATGGATGAATGATGGATAGTATATATGTATGTATGGATGGATGGATGGATGTATCGATGGATGATGGATATATATATGGATGTATGATGGGTGTATGATGGATGTATAATGGATGTATGTATGGATGAATGATGGATGAATGATGGATGTATGATGGATGTATGATTGATGTATATGTATGGATGTATAATGGATGGATGATGGATGGTATGGATGGTTGATGGGATGTATGTATGAATGTATGATGGATGTATATATATGATGGATGTATGGATGTATAATGGATGATATGTATGGATGTATGATGTATGTATGGATGTATGATGGATGTATGATGGATGTATGTATGGATGGTTGAGGGATGTATGTATGGATGTATGATGGAAAGTATGATGGATGTATGATGTATATATGATGGATGTATGATGTATGTATGTATGGATGAATGATGGATGTATGTATCGATGGATGATGGATGTATATATGGATGTATGATGGGTGTATGATGGATGTATAATGGATGTATGTATGGATGAATGATGGATGAATGATGGATGTATGATGGATGTATGATTGATGTATGTATGGATGGTTGAGGGATGTATGTATGAATGTATGATGGATGTATGATTGATGTATGTATGGATGTATAATGGATGGATGTATGTATGGATGGTTGAGGGATGTATGTATAAATGTATGATGTATGTATGTATGGATGGATGTATGGATGTATAATGGATGTATGTATGGATGTATGATTGATGTATGTATGGATGTATGATGGATGTATGATGGATGTATGTATGTATGGTTGAGGGATGTATGTATGGATGTATGATGGATGTATGATGGATGTATGTATGGATGGTTGAGGAATGTATGTATGAATGTATGATGGATGTATGTATGGATATATGATGGATGTATGATGGATGAATGATGGATGTATGATGGATGTATGAAGGATGTATGATGTGTATGATGGATGTATGATGTATGAATGAAGGATGTATGATGGATGGATGATGGATGTATGATAGATGTATGATGTATGTATGATGTATGTGTGATGGATGTATGAATGATGAATGTATGATGTATGGATGGATGTATGTATGGATGGATGTATGTATGGATGGATGTATGACGGATGAATGATGGATGTATGATGGATGTATGATGGATGTATGTATGGATGGATGTATGGATGTATGTATGGATATATGATGGATGTATGATGGATGAAGGATGGATGTATGATGGATGTATGTATGGATGAAGGATGGATATATGATGGATGTATGATGGATGTATGATGTATGAATGAAGGATGTATGATGGATGGATGATGGATGTATGATAGATGTATGATAGATGTATGATGGATGATGGATGTATGATAGATGTATGATGGATGTATGATGGATGTATGATGAATGATGGATGTATGATGGATGTATGATGGATGAATGATGGATGTATGATGAATGATGGATGTATGATGGATGTATGATGGATGAATGATGGATGTATGATGGATGTATGATGGATGTATGATGGATGTATGATGTATGATACATGTATGATAGATATATGATGAATGATGGATGTATGATGGATGTATGTGTGGATGTATGATGGATGTATGATGGATGTATGATGGATGTATGATGTATGAATGAAGGATGTATGATGGATGGATGATGGATGTATGATAGATGTATGATAGATGTATGATGGATGATGGATGTATGATAGATGTATGATGGATGTCTGATGTATGTGTGATGGATGTATGATGGATGAATGAAGGATGTATGATGGATGTATGATAGATGTATGATGGATGATGGATGTATGATAGATGTATGATGGATGTCTGATGTATGTTTGATGGATGTATGATGGATGAATGAAGGATGTATGATGGATGTATGATAGATGTATGATGGATGTATGATGGATGTGTGATGGATGTATGATGGATGAATGAAGGATGTGTGACGGATGGATGATTGATGGATGTATGTATAGATGAATGAATGTATTATGGATGGATGGACCTACAACGAAACTGCTTTATATTTCAGGGAAAGGGATTACAAACAACGTATTGGTTACTTGGGGAGAAAGAGGTAACAAAAGATGTGGAACAGGACCAGAAGGTTCAGCAGCAGCAGCACGACGAGCAGCACCAGCAGGAAAGTGTGGAGATGGAGACTACACAGAGAGACGAGACAATCAACAGTCCTCAAAGAAGCGTCATACTGGACGGATGGGCTGAGCCGAACGAGTCCGATGACAGCGGCGTGACCGTTGGACCTGATCTGGACAGAGATCAATGGAGTACGGCTGACCCTCAGACCTGGAACCACACAGACCTGTCACCAGCGAGAGGTAAAGTTGTTCGCATCCAAGTGGAGCAGTACGGTTCGCTGAATCCGGAGAAGAAGATCGTGTTTCAGGGACCGCATCTTGAAGATGTGCTGGGACAACGAGGTAACGACCAGCGCCATGGATGAAGATGGAGATGACATATGGATGACATGCAGATTGCACTGATGGAGCGGCGATGTTATATTAGCAGAATGGAAATTGCTGTGAGATGTTTATGAAGGGAAGTGCACAGGGAGGAAGTTTGTAGGATACACTTGATTTCCTCTGCGGTTTGAGGGTGTTATTGATTAATAACCGAATCAATTGTAATGACGTCATGATAGAGAGGATCGATGATACAGCAATCTGGTTAGCCAAATTTTCAACAGATAACTAAAGTTATTTGCCAAATACTGATCCAGTGTAATATCTGATTTATGTGTTATCCATTTTCCCAAAGCGAATGACACATTATTTTAAAAATTGTGGATTTATAAAAAGGCGACTTCGCCAGAAATCGTAATATCTAATTTATGTGTTATTGCTTTTACCACAACGAATAGCAATTCTTAAAACTATTGTGGATTGACAAAAAAGGTTATTTATCCAGAAAATTATCCATGTGCACGTTCAAGTCCGTAAGGTTTCTTGGAACCGGTGGCCATTACGTTCTTGAACCATTCCGTTTTACAAATTTGCATAGTGGAAACGTGTAAACCGTCATAGTTTTGTTGAACAGCGGGTACACTTGTATTGAATCATGCGAATCCAAATTTAGTCGAGTGGGTATCACTTGATGATGCAGGTTGCTGGTGCTGGATTCAACGAGACACCCAGTTGTGATGGGCAGAGGGGAGTCATGTAATACCTCAAGATAATGTTTTCAGATATTCGGTTCTTACTGTTCTTGCGTGAACTTTATCATATTTATTAAACCGAATTCATATTTATTGATTTAAATTCATATTTATTGAACTGAATTCATATTTATTGAACTGAATTCATATTTATTGAACTAAATGATGTCCGAGGGTATATCATACTAATCCCGTTACACTTTGATCATATTGCACAGTGGCACGTATGTTTAAAATATCATAAGTTGATTACAGTTATATCATGCTACTCCCGTTACATGTTGATCATATTCCACAGTAGCACGTATGTAATATATACATCATAAAATTGAATACAGTTATAACCACAAGCTGACTCACTGTTCGTAGTTATATCATTTTTTATTGCACTTGCACCGTTGTATTCGCTTTATAACGCCTTATGTTTTGTTTTATAACACGTTGTTTTTGATTGTCACTGCGTTAGTTTAATACAATTTGTCATCAGTAACATCCATTTAATCACGCGTGTTGATATATTTACAATACATTACTCTCGGGTATAAGTATTTCATAACACGTTATACATGGTTATACCTAGTTCAGAAATTAAACATTATCTAAGCATCTTCTGTTGTCTCTTAGATGATTGTGACCCAAATATACTGAGGGAAAAAAATAAGGGATCTCATGAAAGCACAAGTGTCCTTTATTTGTTTCCGGGTTTCTTCACAAGCTATACGATACAATGCTTGTGAAGAAATCTGAAAAAAATATAGAACACTTGTGCTTTAGTGTGATCCCTTATTTTTTTCCCTCAGTATATTACATTTGGTTCAGTTCTACTCACCTTTCAACAGTATATTCATATACGTCAATATAATTCATTCCTTGATCTAAAGGGGCGTTGGAGTAGCCTAGTGGTTAAAGCGTTAGCTCGTCACACCGAAGACCTGGGTTCGATTGCCACTTCTTGTGCTGGAATATTGATAAAAGCGGCGTAAAACAAAATTCATTCACTCACTTGAATTGCAGTTAACCATTTGGGCAATCGGTAAGGTAGTGATTACACAAAACCACATGTTTTCCAACTGACGTCTATAAAGGTAACATTCTATTTAACATTATTTTACTTAGCCATCAAAAGCACTATGCACATGTGTGCAAGGTTTGGCAAAGCAGCAACAGGAAAAATATATATGACTAGATAACCAGGCCAGACTAACCCTATATGAAAAGTGCGTTTGGCTCAAAAGCGGACCGATGAATTGCAATCTAACTCGAAAACTAATAATCATAAAATACTCAATGAAACGCTGATCATAATCAAAACATCATACCCACTCTGTGAGGTGTTTGCAGAATTTTTGTCCTTAAAAAAAGAAAGTTGTTTAACAAACTATCATTAAAATATTGACACAGTTCACTATTTGTTACGAGGGAGGAGTGCAGAGAAAGGGACAGCCAGGTGTTCGAGAACGGATGGAGACGGCACAGCACAGGTTAATGAATAAATAACTTTGTCTGTGAACGTGCTTCTCGAACACCTGGCTGTCCCTTTCTCTGCACTCCTCCCTCGTAACAAACAGTGAACTGTGTATGAAGTTCACTGTTTGTTACGAGGGAGGAGTGCACAGTTTTGATTATGATCAGCGTTTCATTGAGTATGTTATGTTTATTAGTTTTCGAGTTAGATTGCAATTCATCGGTCCGCTTTTGAGCTAAACGGACTATAGTTTCGCACACAATGTCATCCCATATGTGTGGCCACATTAAGCACATGCCATCATGAGAAAGAGTCATGGTTGAGACGGTTCAGAGGTGGTTGAGGCCCAAATCGATTAATGCTATAAAATATATGTTAAAGGTTAAATAAATTTGGAAATTCCAACATTAGTTGAAAATATTCTCCCTTTCATTATGTATTTCGCCTGTCTTTACTCTTGCATGTTAAGGTTGAGGAGTGAGTGAGTTTAGTTTTACGCTGCACTCAGCAATATTCCAGCTATATGGCGGCGGTCTGTTGCTGAAGATAAATTCTAACCCGGATCTTCAAGGGTTCACGTGTCCAAGAGCTCACCACAAGCTTCATACGAGATTATATAATACAGTACTTCCTCTAAATACTGCTTATACGAGCTTGCTGTTTAAGTGTGCGAGTGAGTGAGTTTAGTTTTACGCCGCACTCAGCAATATTCCAGCTTTAAGACGGGGGGTTGTAAATAATCGAGTCTGAACCAGACAATCCAGTGATCAACAGCATGAGCATCGATCAACGCAATTGGGATACGACGACATGTGCCGATCAAGTCAGCGAACCTGACCATCCGATCCCGTTAGTCGCCTCTTACAACACGCATGGATGACTGAAGACCAATTCTAACCCGGATCTTCACGGGATAAGGTTGAGGAAGAGAAACTCTAAAAAATACAGATGGCCCCAAAGTCGAATCTGCAGTATTATTGACGAACTTGGATTTAGCTGGTTTATTTTGTTAATGTTCTTTCAATGCGACGGTGCGTTTCTGTCCTTTCATGTCTTCCAAAGGACTATTAATTTCCGCTTGTTTTGCCATTACTCGGATATTTGCTCTAGTAGAGTGACTGAGTGAGTGAGTTGAGTATTACGCCGCTTTTAGCAATATTCCAGCAATATCACGGCGGGGGGACACCAGAAATGGGCTTCACACATTGTGCCCATGCGGGGAATCGAACTTGGGCCTTCGGCGTGACGAGCGAACGCTTTAACCACTAGGCTACCCCAGCGCCCCTAGTAGAGAAGCACATATGGTTATATGTGGAGGTAAACGCTGCACAGAAAACGACCATAAATAATCTACTTATAGAGTACATTATATTTTTAGAACCTCATTGAGAAACTACACTCAATCTGAAATTGAGAACGCTCTTGTCTGAAGCAGCGTTGTGAGTGTGTGCACTTTCAAATATACGGGAGCGAATCAACCAACCTTTCCGTCCCAAAGTAACAAAGCATGTGACCTCAAGGGAGGGAGTGGAACACCCAGGGGACAGGAAACTGACACCAAAAAAGCCCCAAACAAAACAACATCTAATATGTGCAAGGATAAGAGAAAGATTTTTCAGACGCTTCATTCATGAAACATATTCAGCGACGCCGCAACCCTGCGTTTGTTGTGGTAATATCTGAACAAGAGCTTATCTTCTATTCAAGTTATTTTTCTAGGGGCTGTAGGTGATTGCTTGAGTGAGTGAGTATAGTTTAAGCGGAGTCTACGACTGAACCCACGGTAGCAATATCGCTGAAGAAATCCTTAATCTGAACGTACTCTGGTTGGTTGGGTGTTTAACGAACATTTGAGTCTGGACCAGACAATCCAGTGATCAACAGCATGAGCAATGATCTACGCAACTGGGATACAATGACATGTGTCAACCAAGTCAGTGAGCCTGACCAACCGATCCCGTTAGTCGCCTCTTACGACAAGCATGGGTTACTGAAGATCGATTTTCACGGGTTCTGGGAGACTAGAAGATGATAGCAAAATATTTCTTCGATGTACTTTGTTAGATTTAAATCATGGTTGATGAAATGAGCCCGTTTCACATATTTTAACCGATCAACCCACAAGACCAATCCTTGTGTAAGACAGAAAGCAAGATACACACGCACATATATACTGGGGCATTGGAGTAGCCTAGTGGGTAAAGCGTTAGCTCGTCACACCGAAGACCCGGGTTCGATTGCCACTTCTTGTGCTGGAATATTGATAAAAGCGGCGTAAAACCAAACTCATTCACTCACTTGAATTGAAGTTAACCATTTGGGCAATCGGTAAGGTAGTGATTAAAGGTAACGTCTATAAAGGTAACATTCTATTTAACATTATTTTACTATCCAAAGCTCTATGCACATGTGTGCAAGGTTTGGCAAAGCAGCAACAGGAAAAATATATATGACTAGATAACCAGGTCCTTACCGAGAGCATGAAGCTGAACAGACAAACCCTAGTTCCACACACAATGTCATCCCATATGTGTGGCCACATTAAGCATATGTCATCGTGAGAAAGAGTCATGGTTGAGACGGTTCAGAGGTGGTTGAGGCCCAAATCGATTAATGCCATTAAATATACGTTAAAGGTTAAATAAATGTGGAAATTCCAACTTTAGTTGAAAATATTCCCCCTTTCATTTATGTATTTCGCCTGTCTTTACTCTTGCATGTTAAGGTTGAGGAGTGAGTGAGTTTAGTTTTACGCTGCACTCAGCAATATTCCAGCTATATGGCGGCGGTTTGTTGCTGAAGATAAATTCTAACCCGGATCTTCAAGGGTTCACGTGTCCAAGAGCTCACCACAAGCTTCATACGAGATTATATAATACAGTACTTCCTCTAAATACTGCTTATACGAGCTTGCTGTTTAAGTGTGCGAGTGAGGGAGTTTAGTTTTACGCCGCACTCAGCAATATTCCAGCTTTAAGACGGGGGGTTGTAAATAATCGAGTCTGAACCAGACAATCCAGTGATCAACAGCATGAGCATCGATCAACGCAATTGGGATACGACGACATGTGCCGATCAAGTCAGCGAACCTGACCATCCGATCCCGTTAGTCGCCTCTTACAACACGCATGGATGACTGAAGACCAATTCTAACCCGGATCTTCACGGGATAAGGTTGAGGAAGAGAAACTCTAAAAAATACAGATAGCCCCAAAGTCGAATCTGCAGTATTATTGACGAACTTGGATTTAGCTGGTTTATTTTGTTAATGTTCTTTCAATGCGACGGTGCGTTTCTGTCCTTTCATGTCTTCCAAAGGACTATTAATTTCCGCTTGTTTTGCCATTACTCGGATATTTGCTCTAGTAGAGTGACTGAGTGAGTGAGTTGAGTATTACGCCGCTTTTAGCAATATTCCAGCAATATCACGGCGGGGGACACCAGAAATGGGCTTCACACATTGTGCCCATGCGGGGAATCGAACTTGGGCCTTCGGCGTGACGAGCGAACGCTTTAACCACTAGGCTACCCCAGCGCCCCTAGTAGAGAAGCACATATGGTTATATGTGGAGGTAAACGCTGCACAGAAAACGACCATAAATAATCTACTTATAGAGTACATTATATTTTTAGAACCTCATTGAGAAACTACACTCAATCTGAAATTGAGAACGCTCTTGTCTGAAGCAGCGTTGTGAGTGTGTGCACTTTCAAATATACGGGAGCGAATCAACCAACCTTTCCGTCCCAAAGTAACAAAGCATGTGACCTCAAGGGAGGGAGTGGAACACCCAGGGGACAGGAAACTGACACCAAAAAGCCCCAAACAAAACAACATCTAATATGTGCAAGGATAAGAGAAAGATTTTTCAGACGCTTCATTCATGAAACATATTCAGCGACGCCGCAACCCTGCGTTTGTTGTGGTAATATCTGAACAAGAGCTTATCTTCTATTCAAGTTATTTTTCTAGGGGCTGTAGGTGATTGCTTGAGTGAGTGAGTATAGTTTAAGCGGAGTCTACGACTGAACCCACGGTAGCAATATCGCTGAAGAAATCCTTAATCTGAACGTACTCTGGTTGGTTGGGTGTTTAACGAACATTTGAGTCTGGACCAGACAATCCAGTGATCAACAGCATGA